GAGCCCCTTCGTGCCGAGCAGGCAGCTATAACGGCTCCCCTATTAAGCCCCTCTTGTTCCAATAAAGGTTGTTTGCGTGGAGAAAAAAACAAATCTATCAAAATGCGTACGTGTACCAGCCCTTTTTGAAAATCCACTGCTGGATGACGGCCTTCTCCACGTCGTGCGGGAGTTACTTGAGCATACTTCACCACGCTGTTCGGTGCGGGTTTGTGAAGGACGGGGGATCGCTGGACGTGATGGTATAGAAGTGCAATACAACAATAGATGCTGCTGGTTTTGATTGAAGTGGTTTCAGTGTTTTGTGTCGCCACGATCGCTCACGATTCACTTTTGTTGTTTCAGCTCGAGATGACTCGGGGACCACCGCCCCTGCCCCCCCCCCCTCGTCTCCCCTGCACCGTAGCAGCACGTAAATATTGGAGTGTGAACTCTGCGATTCCAGTATTTCGTGCTGCTGCTGTGCGGTGGGGGGCATGCAACGACAGCGATGACGATGATGATGATGATGAGGAGGAGGAGGAAGTGGTGGGAAGAGGAGGGAGTTGGTCGATGCCGCAGGCGCTGTGAAGTGCCCCCCCTCCTTACGAAATGACGTCCACGTTTGTCCGGCAATAAAATTGATGACCGGAGCTGCGCCTACGCTTTTTTTCTTTCGCCTTCAATAAATGTCCATTTATGCATTGCGTTCTCGTTTTTTTTAAAAATAATTACGAGTGGTTTTTAATAACACCCACAGCACCTGTGGTCAAATCACACCTGGGATAGTGATAGGTTTTTACCCTTTCAACTGGTACAAAAACTGAATATTATACAAGGCATCATGTTTGCAATAACCACAACACAAGCAGTCAAATTCCAACACCAATGGAGACTAGGCTCAAGAAAAGCTGTCTCGGGTGTGGACCAATCAACTTCAAGGACAGTGCATATCATTATCAGAGTTGTTTCTTTTTGTTTGCATTTTGACTGCTTGTGTTGTGGTTATTGCAAACATGATGCCTTGTATAAAGGTGTCAGTTTTTGTACCAGTTGAAAGGGTAAAAACCTATCACTATTTTGTCACTGGTAAAGGAGGTCTCATAGTGTACACACCTGTGATGTTCCAGATCGCATCGGATCTTGGGCAGCTAAGCAGGGTTGAGCCGAGGTGGTTCACGTGGATGGGTTACTGCTGCTATGCGCAACATTACGCGTTGTCACAGTCCGAACCGTTGTATTATTTGCTCCGTGATTAAACTGCTTTAATAACGTTGATGAATTTACTGACGTTTACATCCACCGCAGAGCGACAGACGGAGCGGCCTGATGGATCTGTGTCCTGTCATTTATGCCACTGCGAAATAAACGACGAATTTATTTGTGGACGCCCACAATAAGCAGCCGTGTGGAGCTCGCCACGCGAGGTTTGCTCTTCTCGCGAAGAGGTAGATGCGACAACATCTTCCATGGTGCTACATTTCAAATGTGGCTAGCTGCCATGATGACAATGGCAATTACTCTGAGCTTGTGTGTGTGGGGGGGAGAGGCAATCCCAGGTAACTGCTGCGATTCTCCCAGATGTATGATCATGATGAGGGCTCGTATATTTACTTTAAAAAAATAAAAGTTTTTTCCTTGCGGAATTTCGGAGCCAACTACTAAAATGACTGCCGGATTGTATTATCGGTTTTGGTCTCAGTGTCGTTCTATGACTACACGCATAATATGAAGCTGGTGTCTACCCACAAGTGTGCCCACGTGGCTATGAACAAGATGTACATCAACAGGTACCACTATAAACTTGGTGTCAGGGACTCGCAAGCATTTAAGACCCCACACGCTGCACCAGGTTTACAACTAATCCAGCTACGTTGCCTGGTCATGGATTCAATCACGTCCCTGGCGTCTGTACATTTTGGAGGTTTGCAAGTTCTCGCTGTGGTTGCATTCACTTTCCTGCCTGGTCCTCCGGCTTACCCCACCCCTCTCCACATTTAGAAACGCGTTTAGAGTGCACATGGTCCTCGATATACGTCGCTTCGTGCTCGCGTCGTTTTCAACGAGTCGACAACGTCGCGCGTGGGGTGCGTCGCTGTTAGCCCAGCGACCCGGACTTAGATGTCCACTCGCGGCCAACACCGGTGACGATTGTTGTTTGGGACTTGGCTCGGCTGAACTCTGTTGTTTGGTGGGGGGACGAGGACGTCCTGTGGACAACTGGGATTGTTCGCATGCGCACTCATCTCTGTGCCATCCGTGTGCTCGCCTACACGTAGCGAGTGGCCGTTGTTGATCTGCGCCGAATTGAGCGCTGAACACCGTCGCAACCTTTAAGCATAACTCGTCCACTCAAGGTAAGATGAAAATTTTAGGTTACGGTCAAATATTGTTTGAATAAAATGCTGTTTAAAATTGTGTTTGCTACTGGTTATGCTTGAGTCATTGCTAAAAATTCCACTTAAAAAAAATTGGAACACTTTTTAAGTGTACAGGGCTGCTTCGAAATGATCATGAAAATGTATTTTATCAAGTGTTTGATAAGTTTTGCTATTTAAACGTTGCTTATAAATGTGCACATTGTGTTAGTTTACACGTACGGTATTTTAGTTACAATTATGGGGACATTCTCCGTTAGACGTCTCTCGAGTAGCAATTTCTGGTCCCCGACCTGTCGGGGACCCCCTGTATTTGGCGGCTATACATTTCCACCTGATAAGCCACTTAGTTCTCATTTGTGGCCAGGCAGCTTCCGTAAAAGAGCTATATAGTTAACTTGGCCTTGCCTGCTAAAAAAAAATGTAAAAGCCTTTAGAATTTATTCCACGTTCTTAATCGACCTCGTGGGCCCCCGCGGGCAGCCTGGAGTAAGGAAACTGGCACCATCCCCCCGGGGCCGCTGGGAGTCTTGGCTCTTTCCGGCAGCCGCGCGGTGTTCTTGCCCCGAGGCGGGCGAGGCGCTCGTGGTGAGGCGGCCACCACCGCCGCCTGCCACGTGGCCCGGCAGGGGAATGAGGCGCTGGGGCCACCGAGCAATTGGCAGCACCAGGGCTGGGTGGGCGGAACGCCCAAGGCAACAGGCAGAGCTTTTTACGGCGCTTGCAGTGGTGGTCAGGGCCCGAATGGTGGTGGCCTAGGCCAGGTTGGTGGTGGTCAGGGCCAGGTTGGTGGTGGCCTGGGCCGGGTTGGTGGTGGTCAGGGCCAGGTTGGTGGTGGCCTGGGCCGGGTTGGTGGTGGTCAGGGCCAGGGTGGTGGTGGCCTGGGCCGGGTTGGTGGTGGTCAGGGCCAGGATGGTGGTGGTCAGGGCCAAGATGGTGGTGGCCAGGGCCAGGTTGGTGGTGGCCTGGGCCGGGTTGGTGGTGGTCAGGGCCAGGTTGGTGGTGGTCAGGGCCAAGATGGTGGTGGCCAGGGCCAGGTTGGTGGTGGCCTGGGCCGGGTTGGTGGTGGTCAGGGCCAGGTTGGTGGTGGTCAGGGCCAAGATGGTGGTGGCCAGGGCCAGGTTGGTGGTGGCCTGGGCCGGGTTGGTGGTGGTCAGGGCCAGGTTGGTGGTGGTCAGGGCCAAGATGGTGGTGGCCAGGGCCAGGTTGGTGGTGGTCAGGGCCAAGATGGTGGTGGTCAGGGCCAGGTTGGTGGTGGCCTGGGCCGGGTTGTTGGTGGACAGGGCCAGGTTGGTGGTGGCTCGGATGGTGGTGGCCTGGGCCAGGTTGGTGGTGGCCTGGGCCGGGATGATGGTGGTCAGGATCTGGCTGGTGGTGGCCCACAAATGAAACTGCGATTTGGCGTCGATTGAAGGCGTCGCTAACCTGTGGCCGTCCTCGCTCATGGTTCTGCGATGTCGCAATCCGTAGAGCACCCACACGAGAGCTCATTGAGACTATAGTAACAGCTTTTTACAAAGCCCACTGAGCTCAATAGCAGTTTTTCAGAAGCGACCTGGCCGTATGACGGCTCTGCGAAGTAGCTTATGGAAATCTGTAGCAGCTATATACAAAAAACCACAGGTGTGTGTTTTACTGGTAGGAACGAAGTGAACCAGCCTACAATAGATTATATCGTCCGTCCGTCTGATGTCCGATTAGGTGTAGCAACATCGCCCCCTACTGCAAACACTTGGCAGGACCCTACAAAAACCTTTAGACTCAGTGAGGCTTTCCTGGCTAAACAAGTGTAACATTCCCTTATAATTCCCTGAGATAGTTTTTAATTAAAACATTTAAATTAAAAATTAACTCACAGCGGCCTAAAGCCTACAGCTAGGCCTAAAGCCTAGAACTAGGCCTCAAACTCTTCCTTCATATGGTACCCCCGCCATTTCATTTTATTATAGCCATTCATTTGTTCGTTCCTACCAGCCCACCCTGCAGGCACCTGTTAAATGTGGAGGTAAAAACCGGAGGACCTGGAGAAAATTTCACGCGACCACGGGGAGAGCGTGCAAACTCCAAATATACCGACGTTAGGGTCTATATATTTGCATACCAGGTGAGGTCCTTTGAGATTCGGGTCCTTTATTTCCTGCACTGCGTTGGGAGCCAGCGGTCAGACTGCCTCCTGTCGAGAATCCTCAAGGGAGGAGCGCATTTCTGAAAAGCGTGGCATGAACTTTGCGAGGTGGTTCGCGAACCCGATTAATCGCTTTCCACTGCTTTCACATCATTGGGCTGTGGCGTCTCCACATTCCTTTGAACAAACGACGTCGTAGGGAAACGCTTTTGGCGTAGACGGCCATGTGCGTGAGAGGCACACTCTGGAAACAAGTATAACCCGTAAAAACAAAGTTTTTCACTATAAATCCTTTATATGCGTGGCGGCTAGAGTACTCTCGTCCTCTGGCTTGAGATGGCTGCCACCTATGGGTCAGATGATTGCATTGCACCATTAAGCAATTGGTAATTAAATATAATATTTTTGTCCTAAAAAGTGTAAAATTTTGGAAAAAAATTTTCACGAACATAAATTGTCACGCACAACGAGTCTGTGTGGAAAATGTCAGCTCGATTAGATCACGGGAAGTGGGTTAAAAAACGACCGAAAGATTTGCACGGTCCTAAGCAAGCAAGCGAACTTAATATAAAGGATTTAAAAAGTGATGTGGGCCGATTGCACAACCTACACACACACGTGTCCCCGTATGCAGGATGCTGCTCTTTGGAGCCGTCCATAAATGACGTCACACGATTTTGGACGATTTTTGACCCCCCCCCCCCACCTCGTCACACGGCGTCACAAAAAGTCAGACCCCCCCCCCTCAAATATGACGTCACAAAGCTCTGCCCCCCTCCCCCAAATAAAACATGCTTCAAATCGCTTTAAACTATTGTCATTGTAGTGCGTATTTAATGTGCCGCTGCACTCTGATGATGTAGGATAAAACATTTATTAAAAAGTCTTCAATTAAGTAGAACTTGTCTATATTCATCTAAAGTTGCGCATTTTGATGTGACGTCACATTTCTCCCCCCCCCCACCTCGTCACACATCGTCACAAATGTCTGACCACCCCTCCCCCCAGGTGCGTGACGTCATTTATGGACGGCCCCTTTGCTGACCTGTGCTCATCGCAACAGCAATTGCATGCTGTAGGCCTGGCAGGAGAATCGCTGCTTTGCTCGCATCGTTCGCTGTTCGCCACGCCAGTCCGCTGCGTCGATTGCTCTCGATCTGTCGCGTCTTGCGGCGTGCTCTGCTGTGCTGCACTCATCGTGAGCGCTGTCTTCCACCACGGGCCACGCTCTTATTTGTTACAACAAAGGCTCAGCCTTTTGTTATGCATATTCTTAGGTTTTTTTCGGTAAAGTCACGTAGGTAAAATATTAAAATTGATACAGCTGTCGTGGCTGTGACGGTTCCACCTGAAGACGGAGGCTTGTGTTGCCTCCGAAACGTCGTGATTTTTATTTTATTAAACTTTTATTAATTTTAATGTTTTACCTACGTGACTTTATCGAAAAAACCTAAGAATATGAATCATTGCAGTCACGAAAGCTTCAAATCTAGAATTTTGTTATGCAGTTTATTCTTCGTCTTAAGCCTCATCTTACCATATTAATAAAAAGTGTGCCGTACTTGGCCCTTCCCCTCTTCAACCGTTATCAATACGGAGTGGTAGCTCTTGTAATCTCTCATTTACTTGATACAGCTGTCGTGGCTGTGACGGTTCCACCTGAAGACGGAAGCTTGTGTTGCCTCCGAAACGTCGTGATTTTTATTTTATTTTACTTTTATTAATTTAAAATTTTTACCTACGTGACTTTACCGAAAAAACCTAAGAATATGAAAACGAGAACGAACTTGTCAAGAGCAATCTCCGCTTTCAGTGAGCGATGCTCGCACCGTTACTGCTTCTCGGTCGCGCGATGAAGCCGTCAATTGATTCGCCTTCCTCCTCCTGCTGCTCGCAGCATCCAAACACGAATCTTTCACAAATCACATTTTTTTTGCAGGCCTGAAGTACGCTTCCTAGGCATCCTCCATGGCTATCGCGCCTTCCTTATTGCTCCTCCTGTGACGTTTAGATTCTATCTGTACACGTGGTTGCACTCGCTGCCCATCACTCGCATCGGTGGCTGCTTGCACCTCTGAGGGATTCTCAATGTGGGGCTGCTGCTGCTATGGGGTAGTCTTCAAAATTGGCCCCGAAGGTTCCTCCCCCCAAAATTTCAGCTCCAATCGCCACTCATCTTCATGCCTTCAGGAGCTTGGATTACCATTGGCAGCCACCGTGATTGCTGAATAGTGCTTCTAACCGCAAGCCTTCGGGCTATCTCTGCAATCCCCTCGTGTGAGCTCACAGTTCTGCAGCCCGCTGTTTGCTCGTCTCAGATCTTCGTTGTGAATGGCTCACAGGGATATACCAAATAAATGAAACTGAAACTCAAAACTGAACATTATTTTGGGCCTGTCTACTTGTGAGACCGTGTTCGAGATTTCAAACAATAGCGACGTCAAAGTCGCGTCTGAGATCAGCAGCCGTGTTCGGAGATCACGACCGAATGCAGTAACAAAGACATCATGCTGTCATTGCAATCACCGCCGCATGTTACTTCACGAAGAGTTGTTAGAACCTCGCCGCCGTGGTGCCCCGAACATTCATTGCCCCATCTCCGTGGAAGGCGCCCTGACCTCTGTGAACCCCTCGTTCTCAGCTCCACTTTTCACACCTGTAAACCCCTTATTGCAGACCAGTTCAGACCTTATTGATCACCCCGTGCCATTATAAATCTCAACGTTCATCCTACAAAGTCCCATCACAGGGGAGAAACACAAACAGACAACGCATCTGTTTTGCCCGTCTTGAAACGGCTGTATGCCGTATGGACCTCAAAACGCAATTACCCCGTACAAGAATACGGGGTAAACCGTATGGGTTGACAGCTGTGAATTAAAGTTAAAAAAAGATTGTCTTTAATATGGATGCTAACTTCTAACGCTGGGCTGCCACTGTCTCGCAACATTCGCTCGCTCTCGCGGAGAAAAAAGCCACAGGCGATGAGGAAGGTTGCAACCACGTGCTGAGCTGGCTCCAATAATTGCCTAAGCTCTGCAGTCCTCTATACATTGAGGGTTTAACGACCAATTTAAACACATTCCTGCGGAGGGAGCTGGTAGGGACGTTGGGTTGCTCGGTCAATGGCCAGGGTCAACGGCGGCGTGGTGCATTCCGCAAATATGCCCGACTGTGAGGGCGGGCACAAGCCGGCGTGAGTAGGTGAAACGTTGAGTTTTATAAGGGCCTACGGGGTGACCAGCCCCTCCCCACCCAGCCCCACCCCTCCCACCCCCCACCCAGCCCTTCCCCACCCTCCTCTCCCCACCCAGCCCCACCCTCCCCTCCCCACCCAGCCCCTCCCTCCCCACCCAACCCCTCCCTGCACGACGGACACAATAATCCCCTGTGGGCTGGTGTAACCAGTATGAGCGTTTACATGTGGAGGCAAACTGGTGGACGCGTAGGCAACCTACGCATATGAATGGGGGCAACGCTGCCCCACACAGACGGGGCAAGGTGGAGTCCACTTTTTTTACTTGATTGTGCTGCCCTCTCCTGGCGGGCCACTGTATTGCAGTTGCCCAACCCCACGGGGAAGTTTTTGCCAAAGTTGTGTGTGGTCCATCAACCCTCGCCTCCACAGTGCTGGATTACAGGTCACGCGCGTAGTCGCCACCCTTGGGCTCAACTTGCGTTATGTTAATAGTTTTTTTACCCTTTTATCTGGCAACAAAACTGACACCTTTTTTTACAAGGAGTCATGTTTGCATTGACCACAATACCTGCGGTCGGAATGCTAACAAAAAACACGACTCTGATAATGTATGCACTGTCCTTGAAGTTGATTGGTCCACACCCGAGACAGCTTTTCTTAGTCTCACATGGTGTTGGACCAGATGACGCCAAAAGGCGCACAACTCAAAGACAACGCAGCATTAGAGTATGAGAGCTCGGGGTAAGCATTTACCGAAAAAACCAAAAAGTATAATTCTAGGTAGCCATGCACCTCTCAATGATTATTTTCCTACTACTTGAGCCTTTTGAGCAAGTTTTTTTGTCAATGTCCGTGTGGGTGTGGAGGGTGGGGAGGGGCTGGGTGGAGAGGGTGGGGCTAGGTGGGGAGGGGCTGGTCACCCCGTGGTGCCCTTATAAAACGCAACGTTTAACCTACTCACGACGGCTTGTGCCCGCTCTCACAGTCGGGCATATTTGCGGAATACACCACGCCGCCGTTGACCCTGGCCATTGACCGAGCAACCCAACGTTTCTACCAGCTCCCTCCGCAGGAATGTGTTAACTCAATCCCAGGTGAGGGAAACGCTGAGGAGATGCTTTGGACGAACCTCCAGCCCCAATGTCCAGAAGAATAACACAACGTCGCTTGACCGTCAGCCATTTATTAAATATCTCTCCCAATACAAAGTATTGAGGACAGCTCCCAATACAAAGAATCACTCAAGCGTTGACCTGCATGTGCAGTGTTCAAGTATGAAGCCATAACCCTAACTACATGATTACGAACAGATAAAGGCATTCATAAAAACAACTGGCATTTAAAAAAAAAACGATTAAAATGCCTGAAAAATAATTTGAAGAACACGGCTTCTTTGAAACTAATCGATACACCAATGTTCCAGCTTAGTCCATGAATTGAATCGAGAACTTTAAATTTTTCACTACGACTATGAATACAATTCCACGGCTCATCAGGTTGTGAAGGCATCGGTGTCGACAAGCGGTTGGTATTGGATCCTCCTTCCGGAGCGGAGCTGGTAGATTTTCACGGCGGCCACGCAGACGGCGCTGACGGCCAGGGTGGCAGCCAGGGCGTACACCATGCCCGTCCAGCCAGGCAGCCCAGCGCTACCATGCTCCTCCAGGGAGGCTGTGGTGGGGGTGGGGGTGGGAGTATGCAATGCAAAGTGAATTTATGAAACGTGCAAAAAAATGTGATCGCATCCTGAGATGCTGTGGAAAAAAACGGTGCGCTTAAACCATCGAGTGGGAGAGATTCAGTCGGTGGTGGGCCGACGACCTAATGATGTTCATGTGTCTCGACCTGAACAGGCACAAGGAGTCGATAGCACTGATGGCAGGGGTCAAGGGAGATTCAGACCATGGTGGCAGCACAGGAGAATCGGTGACCTCCCACGTAGGGAACGTTGATTGGAGGCTTCAGCAGCCGTGAGAATGGTAGGAATATCAGCAACAGCGGGAGGGCAGTGACAGCAGAATAGCGGTACGAATAGTCGCAAATCTATAGCAGAAGCAGCAATAGGAAACGGATGCATCGGAAGCGGAATTGGACCCACCAGCTGTAGCAAAGCAAGCACAAGGCAGACAAGCCAGTACATTGACGGCCTCATAAGTACAACAATACAAAGTCTCTTTATTTCACGATATATATGAAAAAAACCCTGGTTTTAATGTCATTACTGACAACCGCTTCTCTCGGGGCCTAGATGAGCTCACCTGGAAGCCTTCTCTGTTCCCACACGGGTAACAAAAGCCTTTCGTTTTTAAACATTGCACGTGTCCTAGTTGATGGCAAGATCAGCGGAGGTAAATGGGGGAGGCAAATGGCAGACTTTTTCTCCCGTTTGATTTACCACATCATTTTGTACAGCATTGTCCTAGTAGAGTTCACAGTATTGGGGGCGATGATTGCCACGTGTTTAACCCATCGGGCAATTTTTAGGTGATAAAAAAAATAATGGCAAATGTATTTATTTGGCCTCTTACGCCGCCACACTATGGCCTATTCTTTCGAATAACATCCAGACTCTTTGCTTCTTTCGGTAAAGTCATGTACGTTGAAAAAATAATAGATCACGTTTCGATCGCCACACAAGCAACCGTCTTCAGGTGATTGCTTGTGTTGCGATCGAAACGTCATGATTTATTATTTTTTCTACCTACGTGACTTTACCGAAAGAACCAAAGAATATGGATCCCTGCAGTCGCGAAAGCTTCAAATCAAAACATGACCTACACTTTAATACCCACTCTGAAAGCAGACGTTGTGCAGTTTTACAGTTAGTAAACCCGCAGTATTATACTTTTAGTTTTTTCGGTAAAGTCACGTAGGTAAAAAATGAAATAAAAATTAATTAAAAAAATATTATATTTTTATTAATTTTAATTTCACTTTTTTACCTACGTAGGTAGGTAAAAAAGTGAAATTTAAATTTAAATTAATAAAAATAAAATATTTTTTTATTAATTTTAATTTCATTTTTTACCTATAATTTGAATTTCATTTTTTACCTACGTGACTTTACCGAAAAACACTGACAGTATGAATCCTTGCAGTCACGAAAGCTTCAAACCCGCAGTATTAACCAGGGCGGCCACGGGGCTCGAATCGCGAATCACCGCAACAATTGGCAAACACATCGCATCCTGCTCGGAGGACAGCCAGGGTCCACCAGACACGCCTCGTGGGGCCGGTGGAGCTTGCGGCGACAGCGAGACGAGGGCTCTGACCTTCGCGAGTCTTGCGGAGTCTGATGGGTCCCTGCGACAGGTCGACGGAGTGGTCGGCGTGACGTGCGTCCCCGCGCGCCTCCCCCAGGCCACGCGCCGCCCGCGATCCCCGCACGCAGCCTCGACGGCACCGCGAGCCCCAGTCGGAGGTGTTGCACACGCGCACCGCGCACTCCAGGTACACCTGCCAGGGACATCGTCATCGTCGTCGTCGTCGTTATCACTCGAAGTACAGCTGCCAGGGACCACATCATCGTCTTCACCATCATCATCATTGTTTTCATCGTCATCATCATCTTCACCACCATCATGATTGTTTTCATCGTCATCATCATCATCATCTTCACCATCATCATCGTCGTCTGCACCACCATCATCATCATCTTCACCATCATCATCATCATCGTCTTCACCATCATCATCGTCATCATCAATCCAGGCACAGCTGCCAGGGACCACCTAATCATGTCCACCGGTTTTAAGAGTGTCTTGTCTGACCTATGACCAGTATCTTCTTGGTTCTTTCGGTAAAGTCACGTAGAAGGGAAATAATAAAACAAAACATAATAAAATACAATTCTCACGACGTTTCGGCCACAACGCAAGCAGCCGTCCTCAGGTGAAGAACAGGTCTGTCGGAAAGACAGCGTCATTCAGATGCTGTCTTTCTGACAGACCTGTTCTTCACCTGAGGACGGCTGCTTGTGTTGTGGCCGAAACGTCGTGAGAATTGTATTTTATTATGTTTTATTTTTATTATTTTATTATTTCCCTTCTACGTGACTTCACCAAAAGAACCAAGAAGATGAATCCCTGCAGTCACGAAAGCTTTAAATCGAAATCTATGACCAGTATTTTAACTGAAACCCATGTTCTATGTACCCTCACAAATCTCTGTGGTTTCTACTCGAGTGCATAAGTCGTGAATGCCCACTGGTTCATTTATCAATAGACAGATCCGATGAGACTGGGGATTGTTTAAACCACTTGGTTTCAATATCTGAAATATCTTGCATTGCTTTGACAGTGACTAACAGTGCTACACGTCATGATGTCTGCTGGTGTTGTCACAAGGAGCCTTCAGAGACAACGTTGTCTGTCGTTTCATTATATCCGGATTATCGCGAGGTCAGTGGCAACTATTTACCTGCGCCACATCGCAGTGAAGGGAGTAGAATCCATGATATAATTAATTTAAAATGAAAAGGGAACGATAAGGGCGGGAGAGATGATCGTTAATGGGAAACTAGAGGAAAAGGATGGGAAATTAATGGAGAAACGAGAGAAAATCTATCGGGAGAGATGAGGATAGGGAGGGAGTGACTACTTAAGGGGTTCGACGATGATGCATGAAACGGCGTCTGTTTCCACAGGAGGTGGCAGAGAGAGTGGAGGGGGGGGGGGGTGCTATAGTGGTATGTGACCACACAGAAGTCACGTGATTTGGTGGGGGGTGAGAATTGATTTTCGGATTAATTTAAAACGGAGGTTGGCATTGACTTGAAACTCGGCTTGTCCAGAGAGTTTTCATTCGAATTTGGCTTCGGCGGATTGCCGCAAGACATATCAACGTCGGGAGAAACAAACGTAGCGGGATTCCGATGCGATCATATCGCATCTAATTCTACCCTGTTAACTGATACCCGTCGCCAATCCCCGCGTCGCACCTGCGCTCCGACGAAGAACTCCACGCTGTCGAAGCTGAAACGCCGCCGGTCGTTGACGCCGCTGTTGTGCTCGTTGTAGGAGGGGTCAACGCGGCACCTACATTGTCCGACCACACGCACGCGGCGGGTTGACCTCGCAATAGCCCTCGACGCAGGTAGCAAAAAAGAACGAACTCACGTGCCAATAGTACTGCCATGAAAGGAAAGAAATAAATGTCACGTGTAAAATAATGAGTCTGATAGAGATATCTCTCTGCTTCGTAGCAGACTTCTCATCGCTTACAAACAACACCCAAAATAATTGCTGCTGTGTTGCCCGTGGTGCACAAATAACAAGATGATGACATTTGTCGATTTACACCGCTCTAAAAAGAATACACACACATATTGCAACACGTGACCGTCTGGCCAATCGCCGTGCTCCCCTGAATCGCATCGGTGAGTGATGGAAGAGCGGCGTCTGTTTTCACAGTGGGCGCGAGGGGCAGAGGGGGCGGGGTTCAGAGTTGGGGGGCGTGATTACACGGACGTCACGTGACTTACGGGAGAACGGCCACCTCCCAGAACTTTACCCCGTTCATGTTTTTGTTGTCCCTTTTGAGAGCGGTGTATTTGACGAAAGCCGTCGAGGTTTTGTGTTATTTTTGTAGCACTGGCAACTTTTTGTTTTTATTTGTTTTTATCAGCTAAGGCTCGCTGAGCTACGTAGCTCTTTTTCAGAAGCGACCTCACTACGAACGATAGCTCAACGAAGTGATTTAAAACGCGGGAATTTATAGCAGCCAAATACTCTCAATTTAGCAGCAGCAGCACAATTATTCTGAGTATTGTTAAGTCACGGGAATACCCCCGCCCATGCTACAGAGGCTAACTGCTGGATGAACAGAAAACAATTCCACGAACTTATTGCAGAATTGCACCGTCAGCTTGACAATTAAGTGGTATTTTATATTTTAAAAACTTGCGGGGAAGGATTGGACCATTGCGATTCTAAATCGCAATCGCTCGCATTGCCCGCAATTCAGCATTCGCTCAACGCGACCAGATCAAGAGAGCCATCTGCACGCACCCGTTCTGGAGCAGGAAAAAGGAGGCGCTGTCCGGCGCTCCCGGGTAGGGCGAGACTTTGCACGTCTCCAGGAAGAGCTGAAGGTCCCGGGCCACCGACGTCAGCGCCACCTGCCAGAGAGACGCGTCGCGTTTCTTCGTCATCGGCGGCGGAAATCGCGACGACGACGACGACTTCCCTTTCTTACCCCCAGTGTTTCGGCACTTTGGCTGATAAGACTTCATGAGTGCGAAGGCCGCCACGCATTTGAAACCATTGGGGAGTTTGACAGCACGATGGGGGGGGTGTTTTCACATGTTGTATTGCTGGGAGCAGCACATCAGGGGCCGCACTGAAGGCTATCTCGGGGCACAGCGGTGGCCCACGGGCCTGGCGATGAAGAACACTTCTCTAATTCTAGATTTGAAGCTTTCGTGACTGCAAGGATTCATATTCTTAGGTTTTTTCGGTAAAGTCACGTAGGTAAAAAAGTAAAAGTAATAAAAGTAAAATTAAAAATAAAATTAAAATCACGACGTTTCGGAGGCAACACAAGCTTCCGTCTTCAGGTGGAACCGTCACTTGATACAGCTATCGTGCTGTGACGGTTCAACCTGAAGACGGAAGCTTGTGTTGCCTCCGAAACGTCGTGATTTTTATTTTTATTAATTTTATTTTTTTACCTACGTGACTTTACCGAAAAAACCTAGGAATATGAACACTTCTCTACCCACTGCTGCCACCTCCTCCCCCGGTCACCCCGCTCGTTCTCAACCTCGGCCCTTCTCACCTCGGCGTAGAGAGGCTCTCCCAGCTCGATGTCGTATGGGTAGGAGTAGATGGGCTGGTTGAAGAATTGGTTCGTATAGAAGCGCACCCGGAGATCGAAGAGCCCCATGCTGACTTCGTCCTGTACCCTGTAGCAAGGATGGAAGGCAGTGAGTGGCTGTACTGGGTAGGGGACCACGCGAATAAACCCACCACCTCCTGTATACCAGGCGAGTTAGTTCATATCTTGCTTCATTTTCGGTAGAGGAAGCTCGCTTTCGTGAAGATTCAGTCACGTGTATAGGTTGTTACTGAGGGGGAATACGCTGTGCATTGTGGGTGTAATGGGCGAATGTTGTTATAGAGGTTGTCTCCAGGGCAGCAGAGATTTCACTTCGCCCATACAGTTGCTTTTGCGAGTGACGTTTGTAATATCACGGAGTTGCGTATTTTTGTGAGCTGTGAGTTCAAGGTTCTGTTCATAGTTGCGTTTCAGAGTTCATTGCCTTTGCTTGCAATGTGTTAGATGTCAGTTTAGTATGATAATGAACTTATTAATTGGACAACTTAGGTCTGTTACTGTGGTTATTTTAATTTGCGTTTATGGAACATGTCAACTATTTTATGCAAACACTAACCGGAATCCACCATAACCATAAAATAATGAATAAGAGGTTAGGTGGTCTGAGTCTGTCCGACACTGATGTTTTCGGAGCATTTGTCCCTAAGCAAACACAATTTACTTGCTACCGCTGCCGCGTGAGCAGTCGTGCACAAACACAAACAACAAAGAAAATTCAACACGTGCTATGAAGGAGGGCCATTGCCTGAAACGTCACCAAGGTCAAGTAGACAAATCATTTTGAATCGCAGGCCTATTTGATTTGACGTCCTGTGCCCGCGTTAAAATATCCACTTTGCAATATACAGTAAACCCTTGTTAATTCAAAACATATGGGGCTCTGACCTTGCCGAATTATCCAATATTCCGAATTATGTACCATGGTACTTCCCAGTGCCTCCTGCCGAAATAGAAAATAAATAAATCCAAACTTGTTTTTCAAACTCTTCACACACCGTACTCATTGACACACACCCTGCATCATTTCTATCCAAAACTTTGGATTTGCCTCGCAGACTGTAGGATTTGTACTTCGGTCCCTTTCCGTTACCTCTTCACGTCGGTATGGACGACGTTTCTGAGAGGGTTGGCTTGAACAGGGCGTACAAACAAGGTAAGGTCAAAAGCGACGGGTCTGCACTGACGCTCGCCACGCACGCCGCCACTGGACCGCCGAGTTGTGGTTTCGGTCGTGGCACGCGACATTGGGCCATTCGGCACGGCAATTCGGCTCGTGGCGTATTATTAATACTGAATGTATGCTGAAAGCGCAGCCGTGCCGCCGCAGTATCCCCAATTACGAATGATTAAATAACGAGGTTTTACTGAATATGAATGATTACACGCGCATGTAAAGTGTCCGAAGTGTATATCTATGGGACCCTTTTTTGCGTGTATCAAGATGATGAAAGAATTAAAAGGCTTTGCCCTTCCCGGCAAAGAATATACAGTTGTCAAGATGTTCAAACACCAAATAGAACACCTATTAACAAGGCATCAATTCTGAATCAATTTCGTTCACGCAACAATGGCAAAGCGTGCATTTTCCGAGATCCGGGCGACTGCCCTTGAACCCGGGGGGACTGACCAGCCTCAGCAGCCCTACCTGGGGGTGAAGCTCACCATTGCCCGGCCACTCGAGCCCATGTAGCAGAACATGGGCACCCGGAGCCGCTTGGCGCCGTTTGGAGACACGTAGCCGTAGGCCGTGTTCATGTATATGATGGTGTCGCCGCTGGTCTGCGGGGCAAATCAAAAGGGGACACATCTAAATGATACACAGAAGGTAATAGGTAAGGGTGCAGCCCTGCAATTTCATGCTCACGCTACTGCTGGCGGAACAACCTCTTTCAGAGGGAGCTCTAGACAGCGCTCGTAGAGGGTATTTAGCCATAGAGGGCATCTTAACCATAGAGGACATCTTAACCATAGAGGACATCTTAACCATAGAGGACATCTTAACCATAGAGGACATCTTAGTCATAGAGGACATCTTAGCCATAGAGGGCATCTTAACCATAGAGGGCATCTTAACCATAGAGGACATCTTAGTCATAGAGGGCATCTTAGTCATAGAGGACATCTTAGCCATAGAGGGCATCTTAACCATAGAGGACATCTTAGTCATAGAGGGCATCTTAGCCATAGAGGGCATCTTAACCATAGAGGGCATCTTAGCCATAGAGGACATCTTAACCATAGAGGACATCTTAGTCATAGAGGGCATCTTAGCCATAGAGGGCATCTTAACCATAGAGGGCATCTTAACCATAGAGGGCATCTTAGCCATAGAGGGCATCTTAGCCATAGAGGACATCTTAGTCATAGAGGGCATCTTAGCCATAGAGGGCATCTTAACCATAGAGGACATCTTAGTCATAGAGGGCATCTTAGCCATAGAGGGCATCTTAACCATAGAGGGCATCTTAGCCATAGAGGACATCTTAGCCATAGAGGACATCTTAGCCATAGAGGACATCTTAGTCATAGAGGGCATCTTAGCCATAGAGGGCATCTTAACCATAGAGGGCATCTTAGCCATAGAGGACATCTTAACCATAGAGGACATCTTAGTCATAGAGGGCATCTTAGCCATAGAGGGCATCTTAACCATAGAGGGCATCTTAGCCATAGAGGGCATCTTAACCATAGAGGGCATCTTAGTCATAGAGGGCATCTTAGCCATAGAGGGCATCTTAACCATAGAGGACATCTTAGTCATAGAGGACATCTTAGCCGTAGAGGGCATCTTAGCCATAGAGGACATCTTAGTCATAGAGGGCATCTTAGCCATAGAGGGCATCTTAACCATAGAGGACATCTTAGTCATAGAGGACATCTTAGCCATAGAGGGCATCTTAACCATAGAGGACATCTTAGTCATAGAGGGCATCTTAACCATAGAGGGCATCTTAACCATAGAGGGGATCTTAGCCATAGAGGGCATCTTAGCCATAGAGGGCATCTTAACCATAGAGGGCATCTTAACCATAGAGGGCATCTTAGCCATAGAGGGCATCTTAGCCATAGAGGACATCTTAGCCATAGAGGACATCTTAGCCATAGAGGACATCTTAGCCATAGAGGGGATCTTAGCCATAGAGGACATCTTAGCCATAGAGGGCATCTTAGCCATAGAGGGCATCTTAGCCATAGAGGGCATCTTAGTCATAGAGGGCATCTTAGCCATAGAGGGCATCTTAACCATAGAGGGCATCTTAGCCGTAGAGGGCATCTTAGCCATAGAGGACATCTTAGCCATAGAGGGCATCTTAACCATAGAGGGCATCTTAACCATAGAGGGCATCTTAGCCGTAGAGGGCATCTTAGCCATAGAGGGCATCTTAGCCATAGAGGGCATCTTAACCATAGAGGACATCTTAACCATAGAGGGCATCTTAGCCATAGAGGGCATCTTAGCCATAGAGGGCATCTTAACCATAGAGGGCATCTTAACCATAGAGGGCATCTTAGCCATAGAGGACATCTTAACCATAGAGGGCATCTTAGCCATAGAGGGCATCTTAGCCATAGAGGGCATCTTAACCATAGAGGGCATCTTAACCATAGAGGGCATCTTAGCCATAGAGGGCATCTTAACCATAGAGGGCATCTTAACCATAGAGGGGATCTTAACCATAGAGGGCATCTTAGCCATAGAGGGCATCTTAACCATAGAGGGCATCTTAACCATAGAGGGCATCTTAACCATAGAGGGCATCTTAACCATAGAGGGCATCTTAGCCATAGAGGACATCTTAACCATAGAGGGCATCTTAGCCATAGAGGGCATCTTAGCCATAGAGGGCATCTTAACCATAGAGGGCATCTTAACCATAGAGGGCATCTTAGCCATAGAGGGCATCTTAACCATAGAGGGCATCTTAACCATAGAGGGCATCTTAACCATAGAGGGCATCTTAACCATAGAGGGCATCTTAACCATAGAGGGCATCTTAGCCATAGAGGGCATCTTAACCATAGAGGGCATCTTAACCATAGAGGGCATCTTAGCCATAGAGGGCATCTTAACCATAGAGGGCATCTTAACCATAGAGGGCATCTTAACCATAGAGGGGATCTTAGCCATAGAGGACATCTTAACCATAGAGGGGATCTTAACCATAGAGGGCATCTTAACCATAGAGGGGATCTTAGCCATAGAGGACATCTTAACCATAGAGGGCATCTTAACCATAGAGGGCATCTTAACCATAGAGGGCATCTTAACCATAGAGGGCATCTTAACCATAGAGGGCATCTTAACCATAGAGGGCATCTTAACCATAGAGGGCATCTTAACCATAGAGGGGATCTTAGCCATAGAGGACATCTTAGCCATAGAGGGCATCTTAGTCATAGAGGGCATCTTAGCCATAGAGGGCATCTTAACCATAGAGGGCATCTTAGCCGTAGAGGGCATCTTAGCCATAGAGGGCATCTTCCACGCTGGCCAGACCGTCTGGAACGAGGTGGCAGTACCTCCTGACACTTTACCCCACCACACGCGACCCTACCTATGGTGATCCCATTGAACTGCCAGGTGGACAGAGGCGGGTGGGGTATTAATGAACTTGAGCCGTTGTACTAACTGCCACACCGGGAGATGGAATTAAGTGTGCTGCTAACCATTATACGATGGCAGAATCCTCTTTGTGTGCGCAGGTAGCAAAGTCCTTCAAGCGGTGTGAGAGGGAGGTCAAGAGGGTTAATGCTTCCCCAGGGCGGTCATTTTATGGGCTGTGAAAACCACTTTGGATAAGAAGAGAGTTAAGTTTGAGTGTAAGAACAATGACGTTTGAGGCGGGAATTGCTACAAGTATTACCGTGTGGATCGGATAGCTGGATGCTCGAAAGGAAGTTGCTGGCATATTAGCAGAAGTGTCTGAGACGGCTGCTGGGAATTTTGTGTCGCATTGCTGAAGTTCTGAAGAGACCATGGCAGGCAGGTGTTGTAAATATGATTGGGCTTTGCTGGGTGATAAGTGTGGAGAATGTGGTGGGGAGGGGGTCATGATTGTCGAGACAGGAATTGGAGTGGGCTCCTGGAGTCCGTTGACCAAGGTCGAAGAGCGAAGAGTAAATAGTGGGAGAATGTTCGGGCAAATCTTCGAACGTGTGCAACAACAGTTATAGGATCAGGCAGAGGGTTCAAGCCATTTGCGAGGTGCGGTGTCAACAACGGCTTTGGCCACAATGACACGTCTTCATCTTGAATTTCGACTTTGAGTGGTTCTAAAGGGCCCTCCTGGCACGGCAGGTTTGGCTTGACACGAGATGTTTGGGCATCTCAGCAGCCATCAGATCCACCTCCACTTTTAAGAGACGGTTGAAGGCTACTCATCTGTTGCGTAAGGCATCTCCTCCATGCCGTATCACAGGCAGGGGAGAGGAAAACCAGCGTTGCTCCCATATGTTTGCTTCCACCATTGGAACCTCATTTGCCAGAAGAAAAAATATGATAATTGTTTTTTTTTTTAACTCTGATAATGTATGCACTGTTCAATCAACTTCAAGGACAGTGCATACATTATCAGAGTTATGTTTTTTGTTTGCATTATGACTGCAGGTATTGTGATCTATGCAAACATGTCTCCTTGTAAAAAAGGTGTCAGTTTTGGTGCCAGATAAAAGGGTAAAAAACAATTATCATGTTTGCTTCCGTTATAAACTGGCCTCGGTGTGACTCGTCAGCACAAGCGACTGATCGCAGCAATTATGGCCAGGTCCAAAGTCGGCCTTCTTCCTTTGGCAAATTTGACCTCGATAATGGGGGCGAGTCGAGCCAGTTAGGGCCCTCTTAACGAGCTCCACTTTTACTCGGGGAATTGCTTACTCGGGAAAAGCGAACTTGAAGGTTGTGACATTTTCCCGCGTGAAATGCGACCCTTTTGTTGAGCAAGGTGACATATCCCTCGCATGGCCTGAGCTTTCGCTCGGGAGGAGTATTTGAACCCCGAGCTCACCTCCGTCCTGGAGCCACAGCCGTTGAGCGGCACGTAGAGCCGGGCGTATTGACCGTACACCGTGGCGTGGCACGACGGGTCCTGAAGGCGGATGTCGTACACGGACAGCCCGCGCGATGAGATCTCGCTCAGGGGGATCAGCAGCTCCATGTCATGCGAGTTGCAGTGGAATATCCTTGACGTGCTATTGCCTGCAGACACACGCGCAACATTTACTCCTTTAGACCTCACTGCTACTGGTGGGGGTAAAGTGTGGGTACTCCAAGACATCTAGGCGGCACGGAAAAGTGGGTCAAATACTCTCTGAGGGGGGGGGGGGGGGCTCGATAGAGCTCGCTAAAGTGGAGGCCCCTCCGCCAGCATTGGCGTGAGCAGGAAGTTGCACTACCTTCTGATGACCACCGCGCAAGCCCTACGGTGAGCCATGTCCGTGTATTGGTCGCCCATTCAAGCACCATCCAGGCTAAATTCTGCTTAGTTTTCGCCAATCAGCTCTCTGCCCCTGTTCAAGTTATTTGTTTCTCAGGTACAACACACCGGTGTGTTGGAGAGCAAATGTAAATGTTGTGGATTTGCTCTCCAACACACCGGTGTGCTGTACTAGTGTAATGACGGTAGAGTCAACCTCCGGTGTGAGTAGACGAGTGGCCACGGGAGTTAATGACAGGCGAGTCAGCCTACAGTGCGAATGAACTAGTGGCCACGGGAGGTAATGACAGGGGAGTCAGCCTACAGTGCGAATGGACTAGTGGCCACGGGAGGTAATGACAGGGGAGTCAGCCTGCAGTGCGAATGGACTAGTGGCCACGGGAGGTAATGACAGGGGAGTCAGCCTACAGTGCGAATGGACTAGTGGCCACGGGAGGTAATGACAGGGGAGTCAGCCTACAGTGCGAATGGACTAGTGGCCACGGGAGGTAATGACAGGGGAGTCAGCCTGCAGTGCGAATGGACTAGTGGCCACGGGAGGTAATGACAGGGGAGTCAGCCTGCAGTGCGAGTGGACTAGTGGCCACGGGAGGTAATGACAGGGGAGTCAGCCTACAGTGCGAATGGACTAGTGGCCACGGGAGGTAATGACAGGGGAGTCAGCCTACAGTGCGAATAATGGACTAGTGGTTACGGGAGGTAATGACAGGGGAGTCAGCCTGCAGTGCGAATGGACTAGTGGCCACGGGAGGTAATGACAGGGAAGTCAGCCTGCAGAACGAATGGACTAGTGGCTACGGGAATGATCGAGAATAGGAGCGTGGCCAGGTGACGGAAGCGGACGGTGGAGTCTGCTGGTAGAGCGAGCGGTCGAGAACCAGCGAGAAGGTTTGGAAATGGGGGCGTGGCCTAGGACCGTATAAAAGGGAGATGCACGGGAGACTCGGGGCTGTTGCAGTGGGGGTCTTCGCCTGTTCGAGTGTGAGCACGTAGCTCCTTAATAAAGAAACCATCTCAAGACAAGTGCGTCGAAGTCGTCTTTACACTAGTAACGAATTGGCATGTTTCGTTTACGTGACAAACTTTACTAATTGGCTGTGTCGGGTGGTGGCGGTTTTAACGATACATTTGTAGTTACGCGATCTAACCCAAAAATAAGTAATATAAAAAAACTTTTAAAAAAACACGCTTTAATGAAATGTACCCTACTAATAATAGAATAATTCTACGACTCCAGGAAGTGGCCCTGAAGCTTGCCATAACGTAAGGGAACGTGGCCAATTACAGCCAACGTTAGTTGAGCGTGGACAATTAGACCCAAGCCGAAACATAACATATAGAAAAGATTGTTTAAAAAGATGAAACAACATTTTTACGATAGAATATAGTATTGTCATCAGTATGACATAAGTATACCAAATTTGCAGTCGATACCACATTGGGAAGTGGGTTAAAATTGAGTTACAAGATTTGAGGATACAACAACAACAGAGTTCATAGAAAGTGTGTTAAAAGATAGTTTCAAATTTTTATGATATAATATGGTATTGTCATCGGTATGACACCGGTATACCAAGTTTGCCGTCGATACCACATTGGGAAGTGGGTTAAAATTGAGTTACGATATTTGAGGATACAACAACGACAACAACAGACAGAGCGAGTTAATACAAAGCGTGTAAAAACCTAATTATGGGAATAACTGTCATTGAAAAGCTGAACTGTGCTTGCGAAGACGCTCGTGAGTAATGCAACAGGTCTTACTGGGAGCACTGGTGGGCGATGTGGTGTTGCCTGTGGAAGATTAGAAAAAGTGTTAGCAACCGACAAGGAGAAATGACAGAGGTAGTCATACCGTGCTCTCTGGATGAAACAAATGCGCTCCACCCATTTTGAAATTCGCAACATTTACACAGAGACCAGTGCGACACGGGTAGAAGTATAGCGGATATTATGGTGTCGGTTGCAGAACATAATGTTGACATTGTGTTTTCGGACAAGTGGTGCCAAACAAATATTTAGCATAACTATTTTCTGTGTGTCCGCATCATTAGGGGCCGTCCATAACGCGATCCAACAAAAAAAAAACCCCTGTGTTATGGATGATATTGGTCGCGTAAGCCTACGTGTTAAACTTATCCATGTTTGTTCATTACGTGACAACTTTATTCATTGGCTGTGTCGGGTGGCAGAGGGTGTACGACACACATTTTACTTCTGCGATCTTCCCAAACATCAATTATACATCGTAATATTGGTCACGAATTGAGTCATGAGCCTGTGAGCAGGTTCGACAAGAGGCAAGGGCATCCTGCTCCGACGTGATCAAATGTAAGAAGTGCAGCGTCGCAGTACACACCCGTAGTTACTGGTGTGCCCGAATGTCAGTGAAGGACGGTGTTTTTTTATTTTCGTAAATAGGTAAAGGTGCAGCCCTGCAATAATTGGGCACTCACCGCTGCAGGTGGAAAGGCCTTCACTAGCAGCTCTCTAAGAGCCCCTTTTAGAGGATATTTGACCAACTCCTCCATGCTGCCCAGATGCCTGGCCATGCAATTAACGAAGTGGTATTACACATTTATACTGCTGGGTGAACAGACGCAGGAGGACTCAATAAACTTGGCCATTTCAACGGCCACAGCGGGAGACCGAATCAAAGTACACTGTGCTGACCCTTACACCGTAGATGCATCCCCACATGTTAACCCCCCCCTCATCCCCAAAACACATTCCTGCGGAGGGAGCTGGTAGGAACGTTGGGTTGCTCGGTCAATGGCCAGAGTCAACGGCGGCGTGGTGTATTCCGCAAATATGGCCGACTGTGAGGGCGGGCACAAGCCGGCGTGAGTAGGTTAAACGTTGAGTTTTATAAGGGCACCACGGGGTGACCAGCCCCTCCCCACCCAACTCCTCCCCACCCTCCCCTCCCCACCCTCCCCTCCCCACCCAGCCCCACCCTCCCCACCCAGCCCGTCCCAACCCTCCCCTCCCCACCCAGCCCCTCCCTACCCTTCCCACCCAGCCCCTCCCTCCCCACCCAGCCCCTCCCTGCACGACGGACGGACGGACACGATAATCCCCTGTGGGCTGTTGTAACCAGGAGGTTCCTACCAGTAACAACTTTCAAAGTGACCCGTCGAATTAATTGAATCGAACGAACACTAACCTCGTGAGCAGATGACGGAGGCATCCTTATAGTGATTGCAGTCGTGACGACCCCACCCAGAGTGGCTGCATCGGGAGAGAGAAGACTCGTGGCCATAACAATTGACTTCGTCTAACCAGATCTGGCCGCTGCCGTTCCCAAAGAGAGCGCCGCCCGGAGCGGACAAGGCATAGCCGCAGCCCACTTGATTGCACACCACCTCGGCGTCGCGCAGGCCCCATCTGTCGTGGCACACGGTGCCCCACGAGCCCGCGTAGTACACCTCCACGCGGCCCTGGCACCGGCCTCCCCCGACCAGCCGGACCGGGACGTCTGTTCATCGCAGGCAAGGCGGTTGGTTAACGTAGAGCATGGGTGGGGAACCTTGTAGGACTGCCAAGGGCCATTTGGATATTTGTAGCATCATTCGCGAGCCATGCAAAATTATCAACGTACAAATTAGCCCGTTGTTATATTTGGTCAAACATTGAATTATCTCGCTCCTAATGTAATGGGCTGGAACCGCTTCTCTTTGGCGAGGCGTGTGATGTTAGCTGGTATTGATGATGTTGCTACTCGCAACTGCTTTTCCAGGTTTGCTCCTAGATTTGTTGAATTTCGAGTCCCGCCTGCGGTTGCCTTGACAGAGCCAGACCCAATGATTTCGCGGGCCTCGTACGGCCGGACGTTCCCCACCCCTGAGTCGTAGAGGCTCGTGTCGCGAAGTCGCACAAGGCGGCAAGAGCGGTCCTCAGGTGGCCGGCTGCATCGGAGGTCAAAGCGCTGAGCTGATGGCGCTTCGGACACGCAACTAAGATCCTGACAGCCTCGACCCTGGCAGGAAGGGGCATGGATATGTCCTATGAAAATTAATCCCACCAGAGGTGAGTAGTTGGGTTGTAACCCCAACCGTGCTTTGGCTGCCGTGTACACATGGACACATGAGAGATCACCCCTGAGATATTTGTGTTCAAATTTAGGCAAGCCTGCTTGTGACGAAACTGGGTTCTCAAGTATACCGAGTTAATGGTTACAACCTGGTCACCACCAATTACTGGCAACAACACAGGGCTAAGGATATCTAAAATATTAAGCACTTAAATCGGTGCATCCACAGCCTGCGTAGAGACAGCACAGCTTGGAAAGCGGCTCTGTTGGGGAGGGGCACGGGCAACCCTTAGCGTGATTTGGATCGCTTTCAATAGATTCAGTCAAATAACAGCAACACACTTTCCAACCTGCACTCAAGGCTATTTTGATTTGTTACGAAGATTCTCTTCTAAACTTGCTTTCAAATCGGATCTTTACCAGGGTTATGATGCCCCACGAAGTCACAGCCGAATAAAATAGCAGTACTAATGCGTTCAAGCGTTTAACCTTTCTTGGAAAGCAATATAGAGCCAATTGACCTGGGCGTTTCTGTGATCGAGACGACTTTTTTCATGTGGTGTAAGGTCTTACCAGGAATAGAAGGCGATGCTGATGGCAGAGACGGCATGTGAAAGACAAACGCGCGCCAGTAATTATCGACGTAACATTGTATCACAGTTTTCTGCAAGCCGGCATTTACACTGAGAAAGAGTAAAAAATTAACCCGTAAAAACAAAGTTTTTCACTCTAAATCCTTTATATGCGTGGCGGCTAGAGTCCTCTCGTCCTCTGCCTTGAGATGGCTGCCACCTATGGGTCAGATGATTGTCTGCCAGCATTAAGCAATTGGTAATTACATATTTAAATTTGTTTCCCTAAACAGTGTAAAATTTTGAAATTTTTTTTAATGAAAATGTATTGTCACGCACAACGAGTCTGTGTGGAAAATGTCAGCTCGATTGGATCATGGGAAGTGGGTTAAAAAATGACCGAAAGATTTGCACGGTCGTAAGCAAGCAAGCATGCAAGCAAGTGCACTTAATATAAAGGATTTAATAAAGGATTTAAAAAGTAACACATGGATCAAGCGACATACACCAGGGTAGAGAGAGATTGCCATATTGACTCTTAAGATGGACTGGACAGATCGACAGACAGTGCCAATGCATCTCGTCTTACACGCTTATCTAGAATGAGTGAAAAATCAAAGAAACAATGATAACTACGGGGGTTGCTGTTATCTCGACCGCTTGGGTGTGGCACGTGTCACAACCGCCATGTGCGAGATCTTACCGGGCGATGGAGTAGAACCTGTTAGCCACAGAGAGACGCCGTTGGGAAGAGACAAACACAAGGCAGTGGTTACTCTCGTGTGTAAGATTTTCACTCTTTTCTGCCACTTTTTAAAAATAATATTGAGAGGCTTAAGCTTGCGGTTACACTTATTGGTTTTCCACTGGCACATTCGAGCCAAGCCAGTGCAGGGTCCTCATGGGATGGTTTTCCACTGGATATTTGCCATGCCAAGAGAGAACCATGACACACTAGCTTCATCAGAAATCTGAAATCTGGCTCGGGGCTAATGACGCATGCATTGTGCGTGACATCGGTCAGTACACTGCGAGGAGCCGGCATCTCCATGTCGTTCACATAAGCTTCAGCTCGTTCGTTGCATGTGACATCAGGGCTCAGATTCTGCAGTGGAAATAAGTATAACCCGTAAAAACTAAGTTTTTCACTCTAAATCCTTTATATGCGTGGCGGCTAGAGTCCTCTCGTCCTCTGGCTTGAGATGGCTGCCACCTATGGGTCAGATGATTGTCTGCAGTATTAAACAATTGGTAATTAAATATTTAATTAGTTTTCCCTAAACAGTGTAAAATTTTGTATTTTTTTTTCACGGACATTAATTGTCTCGCACAACGAGTCTGTGTGCAAAATGTCAGCTCGATTGGATCACGGGAAGTGGGTTAAAAAACGACCGAAAGGTTTGCACGGTCGTAAGCAAGCAAGCACGCAAGCTAACTTAATATAAAGGATTTAAAAAGCAACCTCTGGTGCCTCTTATGCCCCACCACGTAGGCTCGGTATGACCCCTCCCACCGTGCAAATGAGTTACGAGTGACAAGAAGGGGAACACGTGAACCAAGAAACATTCACAAGTTAGAGACATTGTATTAGCTGTGAATAAAAGTAAGATACCTAGAAGGGATGATGGCGAGTTGTCGATTCTACGTACAGAGTGGCAGCCAATGAGGACAATGCACAAGAGGCTTTCGACCGTGGAGATGGAACTAAATTGCACCGCAGGAACATGAGATGCGTGCCGGCTTGAGGTATTCCCCAGCATCTGATAAATCACGGCTGATGATGATGATGATGATTCTACCGCATTGCAAGCCTGCTCGTGTGAGCGGCGCTTGCATTCACACCTCGGCGTGTGAAGCAAGGGCAGCAGACAATGCAGGGCAGACTCTGCCCTCTCACCGTAGTATTCGCAGCTGGTGCCCGTCCAGTACGAGTGGCAGTAGCACCGGTAGTAGGGGTAGTAGGGCAGATTCGTGCAGCTGCCACCGTTCTGACACGGGTTTAAGTAGCACACCCCTGCAGAGAAACACAATCTCGTCGTGCTCTTTGGTTCTTTCGGTAAAGTCACGTAGAAAAAACAAAACTAACTAAATAATGGAAAACGACGTTTCGATTGCAACACAAGCAACCGTCATCAGGTATGAATGAATGAGAAATGCGGGAAGCGAGTGGGAAGCACGTGGGAAGCGAGTGACAGCACATCTTACCGTAGTGGCCAGTTGTGAGCTCTATAAAAAGAAGACAAGGAGTAAAATTAAGAATAGATTCCGTAACACTTCCCAACATGCATTTGTTCTCGCTTTATTTAACCAGGTGAGTGTCGTGGGGTGTTAGTCTGCCAGTAGCGAACAATGATTGCGATGTGTAGCACAAATCGATTAATACGCTGGCCATTATCGATTTTGGCAAATGTGGACTTTAACACACAATGGTCTACTCTTTGCGAATGGAAATCCATGGATTCCGTAACGTTTTCCAATCTGGAATTTGCTCATGAAGTATTCAATGAGCTTATTGATTAAAAAACCGAGTAAAAAAAAGAAAATCCCCTCTATCTCCAATCCCCCACCTCTAACGTACGTCCTGTACATACTCTCTAGGTGGCAGCGGAGATTGCGTGGATGCATCAAGGATTATTCCATTATTTATCCGACCAAGTGAATCTGGCCAGCTCGAGTCGACTCATGGGGGTTTTACTGAATCCTCTCAGCGCTGGGTTTTGTCTCCCCGAGTGTTTTTAAAACGTGAGATCGATTTGGCCACGTGTCTTTTGGGTACATCAAGAATTGCAACTCGACTTCTACTCAACTTTTCTTCATATTGAATCATCTGCACGACAGTTTTTAATTTTATATTGCGCTGCCCCCATCATGAGAGAGACGGACAGAGCTCGTTAAAATGACAGGAACAAAGCAACAGGAAAGCCTGGGAGTTGTTGCTGCCGAGAACGCGTGAGATCTTACCGGGCGTAGCAGTTGATTCTGATGGCAGAGAGGGCATGTGAAAGAGAAACACGTGTAAGAGATTACCAATGCAGTATTGTACGGTACCCTTCTGCATGCTGCAATTACATTGAGACGGGACGAGGAGCACATGCATCAAGGGATATACACGAGCTTACAGACATCATATTGACTCTTACTTAAAGTCAACGGGTTAGGACAGCCAGATGTACAGTTAGAGCTAATGTATAACCTCTTACAAGCTCATCTACAAAGCGTTTGATATTCCAAAAATAGCAATGTATAGTTGGGGTTATTGTGATTGAAATGGCTTGTGTGTGGCGTATCACCAACGTGCATGAGATCTTATCAGGTGTAGGTGTGTAGTGACACCTGAAAGAAAGGTCAGGTAAGGCCATGACAGCCTAGTTGACCCGGGAGGACACGTGACCGGTTAGAATGAGGGAGGGGCCCCCAGAGGGGGGCTGCGGGGGGTCACATGATGGGAACCGAGGTTCTTCGTGAAGGTTCTGGAAAGGGGGGGCCTGGCGGGCGGGGTGGTGGAGTCGGCCACGCCAGTGTGGATGCAAGCCGAACCACGGGAGGGGATCGTGGCTGTCCACCCCGGGGAAGAAACCTTTCTTCTTGGTTCTTTCGGTAAAGTCACGTAGAAGGGAAATAATAAAGTAATAAAAATAAAACATAATAAAATAATATTTTTTATTATGTTTTATTTTTATTATTTTATTAATATATTATTATGTTTAATTTTTATTATTTTATTATTTCCCTTCTACGTGACTTTACCGAAAGAACCAAGAAGATGAATCCCTGCAGTCACGAAAGCTTTAAATCGAAAAAAAAAAGAAACCTTTCGTCTACGATCTTCGATCTGCAAGTCTTCAGCACGTGCACCGGGCAGTGTGCTGTTGGTCCCGGTCTGAGTAGATAGTTACCTTGTAACCTGTGTAGTTAGCCAGGGTGGTGACCACCCACCCTAGGTCGTTGTCTTGTTAAGGGGTGAAGTACCCCGTTGTGTTGAGTAATAAATGCGCTGCCTTTCGAGTCTAAGTGTGTGACTCAGTTAAACCCACTACAGGTGTATAAGCTGCTCCAGACAGGGCATTGGAAAGAGATTTTGTAGCAAAACGATGTTCTGTGTCCACATTATTACAGCCAGTTTGTGGTTCTCATGTTTGCAACTAAGTTTGTGAGTAACAGTCTCTGAACTCTTGTTAGATTTTATTCACAAGCAGACATTGGAGATCCCGTAACTTGAAAAAAAGTTAGGCCACGTGGGTTCGTGTTACGGTTTAAATTAGACCATACAGCAACATTGCTCCCCCCCCCATAATGCAAAAGTACTGCAGGCTATGTATCACAGCATCTTCTTGCGTGACAGCCTCACTTTTATGAGATGGCCCAAATATCAAATGTTATTGTGATGATTTGATATGCATCTTACCGTTTGTAGCAGTACCATTGGAAGCTGCTCCGTTCGATGATGAAGACATTTGAAAAACAGACAAAAGCCATCATTGAGGTTTCAACTTCTAGTGCATACAGCGTTACACTATAAATCAGTATTATCTTTATTATTTACAGTGATTCGCAGTGATATCTGAACTGTTCCTGACCTTCCCGCTTCACCAAACCGTACAGACCCACGTGCTGAAGTCGGGTCAAACAGCCCTCATTACCAATATGAGGCATTGCACTGCCTCATTCAGCAGTGAGCACAGTCACCACAAACTATAAATTAGACTCGTTTAATTTAGAGTTAGATAGCAGAAGGTAAATGTGTGTCATACACCCTCCTCCACCCAACACAGCCTATTCATAAGAATGTTCGCCTCCCTTGTCGGCACACATCAATGCCATCACACCTGGCAGTGATTTCAGCCGCACCACCTCTACATAACAAAGGCTCAGTCAACCATTCTACACAACAAAGACTCATTTCCTGGCAGCGATTTCAGCCGCATCACTTCTACATAACAAAAGGCTCAGTCCCATTTGCACGCACCGTTACATCATCCGCATCTAGTTTACACAACAAAGGCTTATTCCTAACAGCGTGCTTCAGCCGCACCGAACCTCACAATAATAATATCCAGGGCCTACCTTGGCTCCTCCCACCCTCAACCAGTATATATACAAGGACTGTTTTCTTGGAATTTCTCTCACTTGATACAGCTATCGTGCTGTGACGGTTCCACCTGAAGACGGAAGCTTGTGTTGCCTCCGAAACGTCGTGATCTTTATTTTATTTTAATTTTACTTTTATTAATTTTAATTTTTTACCTACTGTGACTTTACCGAAAAAACCTAAGAATATCACACCACCTATTTAAAGTCCAAGACTGGAGGACATTTCACATTGCGGACAACTTCCTGATAAATGCTGGTTGCAACTACCAGTAAAACGTCCCCATCCAATTGTTAAACGTTGTCAGAATGCTTTCCAGCGACACACCAGCGGTGCTGCTGAAGCAGTAATGAATTGGCCATGTTTGTTCATCGCGTAGCAACTTTATTCATAGGCTGTGTCGGGTGGAGGAGAGTGAACGACACACATTTTACTTCCGTGATCTGACCCAAACATCATTTGTGAATTGCAATATTGGACACGAATTCAGCCATGGGCCTGCCTTCTCCTCTCTAATGGCTGATGTAGATGCAAATTTATCACTACAATGTCACAATTCAGGTGCTCAAGCCAAACAACCGCATCAGGAGCGGCGGAGTGTATTGCTGCAATGTTGCCTTCGTATTTGTGGATCAGGCATTGCACCGTTAGATGTTGTACGGTCTGTTCTGGATGACTGCAGCTGCACACTGGAGAGTTTTCAAGTTTCCATTGACGCATCAGGTATCTGCACCTGCCATTGTTTGTGCGGATGTGGTTCATGGTGGACCATGAGCTTTGCGGAAGGTAAAAATCAGGGATCTTCTGTGTTGGGTCTTTCACAAGGAGTTTGTGAGTTCTTTTATAAACTCCATTCAGCTTTCCAAGCTTCATTAGGGTCGAGTTAGTATTGTTGCAGGTTCGGCACATGAATACAAAAGGGTTTGCATGACTTCAAGTGATAACGAAGGACATTATTGAGGTCCCGATGAATGGGAAGGTGACCCCCTTTTCCTCTATTCGCAGTCTTCCCGGAAAGTTGCAGCAGATTGATGGGGGAGATGCGTGACAGCACGGGCAACGAGTGCTGGGGCCGAATTGAGTGTTCCAGTGATACACCGTATTTCAGTGTTCATCGGGACTTCAACAAGTCGCGTGTGAGTACTTCTGGTTCATACCCGTGCACAGTGCTACGAAGTACACGATGGCCATCACTGATGTCCGTAGCACTGTTGCTTCCCAGCTTGTGCTTGCCAGTTTCTGGACCAGGTTAACCCTTTGTTTCGGTCTTGGCGGCTAACTTTTTCAGGCGGTCGTGGAAGATCAGCATACAGTCCAGCTTCACTCCGAGATAGGTTGGAGTGGGGTCGTGTCGCACGGTGTTTGCCGCAGAAGGTCACTTTCAGAGTGTGCTCGACACTCCTGTAACCAAGATGAAACGCAGTGACTGTTGATTTGCGGGGATTTGGCCAGAGCCTCCATTTCCGGAAATAACCCCCCGTTGTATTTTGGTCTTGGTTCAGAGTGGATTCGATGTCATTGAAAGTGGCTGCTTGCATTGTTAGGAAAAGGTCATCTGCAAAGTTGTGTGACCTGGTTGGCGGTGTGTTGCTCGTAGAGACATTGAAGAGCATTGGTATAAGTACTGAACCTTGTGGTATCCATTGTTGAGGAACTGAGGTGAGCTGGTTTTATCAGCCATTTATTGCTCAGCATTGTCCATATCAGGTGTATCGTTTTGAGGCAGGGAATGGTCCTTGCAAGCTTCACCATCAGGCCCTTAATCCAGACTGTGTCATATGTTGATGACAAGTCCACAAAGGCTGAGCCGGTTTTAGATTTATCCTGAAATCTGTGTCACAAGGGCCAAAATTTGGTCACAGCAGCAGCGGCCAGGCCAGAATCCGGGTTGTTCTTCAGGGATCACCGACTCGCCGAGGGGGCTGATTCTCTGGAGGATGATGCGTTCCAGGAGTTTATACGTCATGCACAGGAGTGATATTGGCCTACTGCTTCCTGGGTTGTCAGTTGGCTTGCTCAGTTTGGGTATTTCAATCACCATTGCCTCCTGCCATGCTTTTGGGATGCATCTGGTTTTCATGGTTTTGGTGTACAGGTTTGCAATCCATTGGAGTCTCCTAGGGCCTAAGTAATGGAGGAATTATGGGGAGATACCATCTCTGCTGGCAGGCATTGCCTTTCTTCATTGCAGCCAGACCCTCCCTCACTTCTTCTGTACTGTTGGCGGTGGGGTCTTGTGAAGAAATTGAGGCCATTGTCTGGTGTAATTGGCGATGAATCTCTCACTTTTTGCTATTTGTCGAGCGGTCCTTTTGTGTTCTTCATTAGTTTAGAGGCTATACATTTGGGCAGAACACTTGTGGTCCGGTATTCTAAAGGATTAGCAGTACCAAGACATCATAGCAGGGTCCAGGCATGGCGACTGGAGTGTGCGAATTCCAGCACTTCAGCACACTCAATCCACCGCTGATGTCTGGTTGAGTCTAAAGACTATCGCAGGGCCCTTTGTAACCTCTAGGCTGCCCGACTGGTTGTATTGTCGGAGCAGGCCCTGGGTCTGTTTTGTCCAGCAGAGAGTAAATTATTTCCAGAAGCCTCGGGGGATGCTCTTCTTGGCAGCTACAACTAAGGAGGCCAACACAAAGGTGAATTCGACTCATCAACCTTTCTATAGCCTCATTACCTCTTGGTAATCGTTTTGACAGAATCATGGAGATTTCAATGCCTATGTGGGTGATGATGTGCCTATGTTGACTTTTGGGGAAATCTGGGCGTATTTGGGTGGTTGTATCCTTGGATGTGGTCGCGACTGGCATGTATGGCATCCAAGACATGGGTTTCTAGGAGCGTCAGGACATCAACGTGAAGGGGTTTCAGTATATTCACGAGATAGTCGCACTGCGCCCGACAAAGTCTCTCAATGTTCCCTTGGAGGATCCTTGTCGCAGGGCCTGTCTGCTGTGTTGTTTGGACTTGAAGACAGCCGTCGTCACGGCTTTGTTGTTACTCTGGAAACCGGGAGATTGATGAATGATGTTTGGTCGCTGCGTTGATAGCAAGAGGCAGGGACATCCTGCTCCACCATGATGATAATGTAAGATCTGCATTGTTTTGGCACATACCTGTGACCCTGCCCACTTTATAAACATAAGTGAGTGGCTGTAAAGAGGACAAGGTGTAGCCCTGCAATAACTGGGTACTCACATCACTGCTGACGGAAAGCGCCTTCACATGAATGGAGAGCCCCTCTTAGAAGATATTTGACCTACTCTTCCATGCTGGCCAGATGTCCGGCTATCTGAATTGACGAAGTCACATTTATACTGCTGGATGAACAGAGGCAGAAGGACTTAAAAACTCGGCCATTTCAACTGCCACAGCGGGAGATAGAATCAAACAGGCGACGTCTGGATGTAAAGCCCAATGCGCTGGCCGTTATGCCGGCAGAAACGTGCTCTGTATGTAAATAAAACCCCCAAAGTGACCTTGTGCATGAATCGAAGGAACACTAACCTCGCGAGCAGATGACGGAGGCATCCTCATTGTGACCGCAGTTGTGATGTCCCCACCCATAGTGGCTGCATTGGGAGAGAGAAGACTCGTAGCCATAACAATTGACGTCGTCCAGCCAGATCTGGCCGCTGCCCATCCCAAAGTAAGCGTTGCTCAGAGCAGACAAGGCATAGCCGCAGCCGAGTTGGCGGCACACCACCTCGGCGTTCCGCAGGCCCCATATGTCGTCGCACACGGTGCCCCACGAGCCCGCGTAGTACACCTCCACGCGGCCCTCGCAGGAACCACCCCCGACCAGCCGGACTGGGACATCTGTTCATTGCAGACGGGTGATTGTACATACGGGTAATGTACAGGCTTGTCTTGCGATACACACTAGGCACAAGAGCGGCTGTCAGGAGGCCAGAGCACTGAGCTGGTGGCGCTCTGGGCACGCCAGGAAAGTTCTGCCAGGGTCAAGGCTGGCAGGAAGGGACTTGACTATGGCTCAAAAGCACTATACCCATCAGAGATGAGTTGCGCTCAACCCTGCTGTGTCTGCTATGTACACACACACACAAACAAGATGGCCCCCTGAGATCTCCTTGTTCAAATTCAGGCAGCCTGGTTGTGATAAAACTGGGTTCTCCAGTGTACCGAATCCATGGTTTCAACCTGGTCATCACCATTTACTGCACAAAAACACAAGGCTGTGGAAACCTAAAAATATAAGCACCACAGGAAGCATTGCATCTACAGCCTGTTATGAGACTACTTGGGTTGGATAGTGGCTCTGCGGGGGAGGGTGCGGGCAACCCTTTGAAATGTTTAGCTTATTTTCAATAGGTGAATTTAAAATAATGGCAACACGATTTTATGCCGTGAACTCTAAAAAAAACTATAAACTATTTTTTATTTTACCAGGTAAGGCTCACTGAGCTATACAGCTCGTTTTCAGACGTGACCTGGTCACAAATGATGGCTCATCAAAGTGGATTAATGCGTATAAATGTATAATACTCTAATATGCATGTTTCTAATAATGAGCGTGAGAGACATGCAGACTCCAAATCTACAGGCGTCCAAGTTGGGATCGAACCCATGACCTCCTGCATACCAGGTGAGGAAGTTAACATCTCCTAGCCACCGTGGCACCTGTTGAATGATCTTTACCAGTTACGATGCCCCACCCAGTTACAGCCAGATAGAACAGCACTATTGCATTCAAGCTTTTAACCTTTCCTGGAAAACAATATAAAGCCAAGAACCACATGCAGTATTGTCAATAAACCCAGAGGTTGCTGTGTTCGAGACAGCTTGTGCATTGCGTGAGATCTTACCATGTGGAGAAGTAGAATTCCATTCTGATGGCAAAGAGGGCATATGAAAGACAAATACGTGCGCCAGTGATTACTGATGCAATATTGTACCGTAATTTTCTGCATGCTTGCAAATACAATGAGAGACAGGAAACCGAACGTATGGATCAACGAACAAACACAAGTGAATAACAGAGATGCCCTATTGACTCTTGAGAAAAGGAAATGGTTTGACTGGACAGATGGGCAGACATTGGCAATGCATCTCGTCTCACAGGCTTATCTAGAGAGTGTGAAATTCTAGATTTGAAGCTTTCGTGACTTCAAGGATCCATACTCTTTGGTTTTTTCGGTAAAATAAATAAATGGAAACAACTAAATGAAATCACGACGTTTCGGGCGCAACACAAGCGTCCTTCTTCAGGTGGGGACAACGTAGCGAAAGCACAACCGCTTAAGTGTGTCTCGGAGATGGCTGTGACGAGGAATTATATAGTCGCGGGGGATGGAGGGAGGGGATGGGCCATGGTGAGTGTGTGAGCGGGCTGTGGACCGAAGAGGCAATGTAGTGAGGCACGGGGGGGGGGGGGGGGGGGGGGGCGCTGGGAGGCAACGCATGGAGTTCAAACTGAAAGTGTGAAATGTCCAAGAACAACAATGTAACAATTATCCTGGGGGGAGGGATTCTGTGATCGAGACGGCTTGGGTATGGCATGTGTCACCACCGCTGTTTGCGCCAGAATGAGTCTAATTTTGCAAGAGTGACCTGGGGTGTTAGTCTGCCAGTAGCGGACAATGATTGCAATGTGTAGTCCAAAGTGAGTAATACGCGGGCCATTTTCGAATTGAGCAAATTTGGATCTTAAAAGCCGGGACACAATGGCCTACTCTTGTGAAGGACGCAACGGAATCCTCAACGTTCACTGTGAAGCAGGCGACGTGTATTGTGGTTAGTACCCGTGCAGTAATCATCAAGGCGGCGGCTGGATTCCAGCCATGAATGTCAGCAACTAGGCCGTTGCATACCTGTCAACCCCTTATCAGTGCCCTACCTTATTACAGACCAATTCAGACCTTGTTGGTCACCCCGTGTCCCTTATAAATCTCAACGTTCATCATACAAAGTCCCATCACAAACAAATAGACAAACACAATGTTGCCCGTATTGAAACGGCTGTACGCCGTATGGACCTGAAAACTCAATTGCCCCGTACAAGTATACGGGTAAACCGTATGGGTTGACAGGTATGGCCGTGTCAATCGGTTGCAGTAACCGCTGTCCATATGCCAGTTGCGTGGCAAGCAGTGTGTCCTTAGCCCATGATGAGACACCGGGGTTTTGTAAGAAACTCTGCCGAGAAGGGCATGGGTAACCTCGTGATACATTCTGGAGATATCTAGAGGGCAAGTCAAACCTTCGAGGGAAAGCATTTAAAAGGCAAGGATGAGCAAGTAACAATTGGCCTGGGTGTTGCTGTGATCGAGATGGTTGGTGTGTGGCGTACCACCAACACAGTGTGCGAGATCTTACCAGGTGCATTCGTAGAATGTGCTCCTGATGGCCAAGAGGGCATGTGAAAGAAAAACACATTCGCCAGTGATTACCGATGTCACACTGTACGGCAAGTTTCTGCACGCTGTTAATTACACAAATAGGCATGAAAAGGAATGCATGGATCAAGAAACGTACACAAGTTAGAGACATAATATCAACTGTTAACGTGAAGTAAATGGGCTTGGGCACATCACTGAAATGAATTCTAGGAGGTAGTCAAGACTAATGACAAATTGTCAGTCAAGTGAGGGAACACTAAATGATTGGCAGGCAAAGGAGACGGAGGAATTAAATGGGCTCATTCGTAGGAGCTTCGTGAATTGTTACATAGCAGGAAAGTGATAATGACTTTGGGAGGAATTCATCCAGCAGTGGAGACATAATGGCTGATGGTCGTATTGTAATTCATGCGTGGCAGCCGGTGTGATTGATATTTACATGGACACCAGGACATGTGCCACAAGAGCAGTAAACGATGCATGGCAGGCTCTGTCCTCTCACCGTAGTATTCGCAGTTGGTACCCCACCAATACGAGGGGCAGTAGCACTGGTAGTAGGGGTAGTACCAATATTCCGCACAGGTTCCGCCATGCTGGCATGGGTTCCGCTGGCAAGCACCTGCAGAGAAACAAACTCTCCTCACGTCACGTGCCAGGGCTTCCTAGTGGTGGTCTCTCGTTGATTAGGGATGGCGTAGACCTAATACAAGTTAATTAGGGATCGAGTAGATCTAATACTAATCATTAGGGTAGAAGTAGGTGAAGTACTGGTCACTTGTTGATTATGATGGGGGTAGGCCTCGTACTAGTTACTAGTTCATTAGGGATGGGGTCAGCCGAGTACTCGTCACTACTTCATGAGGGATTGGGGTAGGCCTAAGCGTAGTCACGAGTTAGGTTAAAGTCATTCTTTTGCACAATACATTATTACAAGTCAGTTAGCCAATCGTTCACTCACGACAATACATTACTCATCGGAAAAGCATGCATTCAATTATGTTCCATCCGTCTGGACTACAGACTCTAGATCCAACTCATGGTGGATTTGTAAGCCACCATTTTGCAGGAGTCACGTGACCTCTGTCTGATTGGAAGTTGCTGCCTCCTGTTGCCCACGAGTACGCCGCTTGAATCAAAAGTGTTCAGATGTTTGTGCCGAGGGGGTGGGGAGTGATAATAAATATCAATATTTTCAATGGGAAATGGAACGAATGCCCTAAACTTGCCCTTATGGACAAAGGCATTAAGGAAGAACTCAAGCAGAAGACTCTCTATGATAAACAGCCACAATCACACATGAGGGGTATTCTCCCCTCCATGCATTACCCACATCTAAACATTGTGGGGTTTGCAAAACCCCACGACACCCACGGTGTCTGTGCCCTGAAAGAGAGGTCACTCACTAGAGTGGGTCGTATCCGCTGCTTCGGGTCGAGTAGCTGTTTATGATGGCAGAGAGGGCATGTGAAAGAAAAACGCGTGGATGAGATTACCAATGCAGTATTGTACGGTACCCTTCTGCATGCTGCAATTATACTGAGACAGGAAATGGAGCAAATGGATCAAGGGATATACACGAGCTTACAGATATCATATTGGCTCTTAAGAAAAGTAAATGGGTTAGGACACACATACCTAACTCATTACCTCTTACAAGCTATTCTGAAAACGTTTAATTTACGAAAAACAACAATGAATCTTTGGGATTACTGTGATCGAGATGGCTTGTGTGTGGCGTATCACCAACACGGTGTGCGAGATCTTACCAGGTGCATTCGTAGAATGTGCTCCTGATGGCCAAGAGGTGCATGTGAAAGAAAAACACATGCGCCAGTGATTACCGATGTCACACTGTACGGCAAGTTTCTGCACGCTGTTAATTACACGAATAGATAGGAAGAGGAACTCATGGTTCAAGGAACGTACGCAAGTTAGAGACATAATATCAACTGTTAACGTGAAGTAAATGGGTTTGGGCACATCACTGAAAGGAATTCTAGGAGGTAGTCAAGACTAATGACAAATTGTCAGTCAAGTGAGGGAACACTAAATGATTGTCAACCAAAGGAGACGGAGCAATTAAATGGGCTCATGCGTATGAGTTTCGTGAATTGTTACATAGCAGGACAGTGATAATGACTTTGGGAGGAATTTATCCAGCAGTGGAGACATAATGGCTGCTGGTCGTATTGTGAACCATGCGTGGCAGCCGGTGTGATTGATGTTTACATGGACACCAGGACATGTGCCACAAGAGCAGTAAACGATGCATGGCAGGCTCTGTTTTCTCACCATAGTATTCGCAGTTGGTACCCCACCAATACGAGGGGCAGTAGCACTGGTAGTAGGGGTAGTACCAATATTCCGCACAGGTTCCGCCATGCTGGCATGGGTTCCGTTGGCAAGCACCTGCAGAGAAACAAACTCTCATCACGTCATGTGCCAGGGCTTCCTAGTAGTGGTCACTCGTTGATTAGGGATGGAGTAGACCTAGCACAAGTTAATTAGGGATATAGCAGGTCTAATACTAATCATTAGGGTAGAAGTAGGTGAAGTACTAGTCACTTGTTGATTATGATGGGGGTAGGCCTCGTACTAGTTACTAGTTCATTAGGGATGGGGTCAGCCGAGTACTCGTCACTACTTCATGAGGGATTGGGGTAGGCCTAAGCCTAGTCACGAGTTAGGTTAAAGTCATTCTTTTGCACAATACATTATTACAAGTCTGTTAGCCAATCGCTCACTCATGATAATACATTACTCATCGAAAAAGCATGCATTAAATTAAGTTCCATCCGCTTGGACTACAGACTCTAGATCCCACTCATGCCGGATTTGTAAGCCGCCATTTTGCAGGAGTCACGTGACCTCTGTCTGATTGGAAGTTGCTGCCTCCTGTTGCCCACGAGTACGCCGCTTGAATCAAAAGTGTTCAGATGTTTGTGCCGAGGGGGTGGGGAGTGATAATAAATATCAATATTTTCAATGGGAAATGGAACGAATGCCCTAAACTTGCCCTTATGGACAAAGGCATTAAGGAAGAACTCAAGCAGAAGACTCTCTATGATAAACAGCCACAATCACACATGAGGGGTATACTCCCCTCCGTTTATTACCCACATCTAAACATTGTGGGGTGTGCGAAACCCCACGACACCCACGGTGTCTGTGCCCTGGAAGAGAGGTCACTCACTAGAGTGGGTCGTATCCGCTGCTTCGGGTCGAGTAGCTGTTTCTGATGGCAGAGAGGACATGTGAAAGAGAAACGCGTGGATGAGATTACCAATGCAGTATTGTACGGTACCCTTCTGCATGCTGCAATTATACTGAGATAGGAAAAGGAGCACATGGATCAAGGGATATACACGAGCTGACAGACATCATATTGACTTTTATGAAAATTAAATGGGTTAGGACAGACAGACATACCTAACTCATTGCCTCTTACAAGCTTATCTTGAAAACGTTTAATTTCCAAAAAACAACAATGAATCTTTGGGATTATTGTGATCGAGATGGGTTGTGTGTGGCGTACCACCAACACAGCATGCGAGATCTTACCAGGTGCGTTCGTAGAATGTGCTCCTGATGGCCAAGAGGGCATGTGAAAGAAAAACACATGCACCAGTGATTACCGATGTCACACTGTACGGAAAGTTTCTGCACTCTGTTAATTACACAAAATAGATAGGAAAAGGAACTCATGGATCAAGGAACGTACCCAAGTTAGAGACATAATATCAACTGTTAAGAGAAGTAAATGGGTTTTAGGCACATCACTGAACGGAATGATTGGAGGTAGTCAAGACTAATGACAAATTGTCAGTCAAATGAGGGAACACTAAACGATTGGCAGCCAAAGGTGACGGGGCAATTAAATGGGCTCATGCGTAGGAGCTTCGTGAATTGCTACATAGCAGGAAAGTGATAATGACCTTGGGAGGAATTCATCCAGCAGTGGAGACATATAGGCTGATGGTTGTATTGTAATTCATGCGTGGCTGCCGGTGTGATTGATGTTTACATGGACACCAGGATATGTGCCACAAGAACAGTAAGTGATGCATGGCAGGCTCTGTCCTCTCACCGTAGTATTCACAGTTGGTACCCCACCAATACGAGGGGCAGTAGCACTGGTAGTAGGGGTAGTACCAATATTCCGCACAGGTTCCGCCATGCTGGCATGGGTTCCGCTGGCAAGCACCTTCAGAGAAACAGACTCTCCTCACGTCACGTGCCAGGGCTTCCTAGTAGTGGTCACTCGTTGATTAGGGATGGAGTAGACCTCGTAGTAGTTCATTAAGAATAGAGTAGGTCTAATACTAATCATTAGGGAAGAAGTAGGCGAAGTACTGATCACTTGTTGATTATGATGGGGGTAGGCCTCGTACTAGTTACTAGTTTATTAGGGATGGGGTCAGCCGAGTACTCGTTACTACTTCATGAGGGATTGGGGTAGGCCTAAGCCTAGTCACGAGTTAGGTTAAAGTCATTCTTTTTCACAATACATTATTACAAGTCAGTTAGCCAATCGCTCACTCACGACAATACATTACTCATCGAAAAAGCATGCATTCAATTATGTTCCATCCTTCTAGACTACAGACTCTAAATCCCACTCATGCTGGATTTGTAAGCCGCCATTTTGCAGGAGTCACGTGACCTCCGTCTGATCGGAAGTTGCTGCCTTCTGTCGCCCACGAGGACGCCGCTTGAATCAAAAGTGTTCAGATGTTTGTGCCGAGGGGGTGGGGAGTGATAATAAATATCAATATTTTCAACGGGAAATGGAATGAATGCCCCAAACTTGCCCTTATGGACCAGGGCATTTAAGGAAGAACTCGAGCAGAAGACTCTCTATGATGAACAGCCACAATCACACATGAGGGGTATACTCCCCTCCGTTTATTACCCACATCTACACATTGTGGGGTGTGCGAAACCCCACGACACCCACGGTGTCTGTGCCCTGGAAGAGAGGTCACTCACTAGAGTGGGTCGTATCCTCTGCTCCGGGTTGAGAAGCTGATTCTGATGGTAGAGAGGGCATGTGAAAGAGAAATGCATGGAAGAGATTACCAATGCAGTATTGTACGGTACCCTTCTGCATGCTGCAATTATACTGAGATAGGAAAAGGAGCACATGGATCAAGGGATATACACGAGCTGACAGACATAATATTGACTCTTAAGAAAATTAAATGGGTTAGGACAGACAGACATACCTAACTCATTGCCTCTTACAAGCTTATCTTGAAAACGTTTAATTTCCAAAAAACAACAATGAATCTTTGGGATTATTGTGATCGAGATGGCTTGTGTGTGGCGTACCACCAACACAGCATGCGAGATCTTACCAGGTGCCTTCGTAGAATATGCTGCTGATGGCCAAGAGGGCATGTGAAAGAAAAACACATGCACCAGTGATTACCGATGTCACACTGTACGGAAAGTTTCTGCACTCTGTTAATTACACAAAATAGATAGGAAAAGGAACTCATGGATCAAGGAACGTACCCAAGTTAGAGACATAATATCAACTGTTAAGAGAAGTAAATGGGTTTTAGGCACATCACTGAAAGGAATGATTGGAGGTAGTCAAGACTAATGACAAATTGTCAGTCAAATGAGGGAACACTAAATGATTGGCAGCCAAAGGTGACGGGGCAATTAAATGGGCTCATGCGTAGGAGCTTCGTGAATTGCTACATAGCAGGAAAGTGATAATGACGTTGGGAGGAATTCATCCAGCAGTGGAGACATAATGGCTGATGGTTGTATTGTAATTCATGCGTGGCTGCCGGTGTGATTGATGTTTACATCTACACCAGGACATGTGCCACAAGAGCAGCAGACAAAGCAGAACAGACTCTGCTCTCTCACCATAGGAGTTTTCACAGTTGGTGCCCGTCGTGTACGAGGGGCAGTAGCAATGGTAGTAGGGGTAGCGCAAAGATTCCACACAGGTTCCGCCTTGCTGGCATGGGTTCGGCTGGCAAGCACCTGCAGAGAAACAAACTCTCATCACGTCACGTGCCAGGGCTTCCTAGTAGTGGTCACTCGTTGATTAGGGATTGAGTAGACCTAGTACAAGTTAATTAGGGATATAGTAGGTCTAATACTAATCATTAGGGAAGAAGTAAGCAAAGTACTGGTCACTTGTTGAATATGATGGAGGTAGGCCTCGTACGAGTTACTAGTTCATTAGGGATGGGGTCGTCACTACTTCATGAGGGATTTGGGTAGGCCTAAGCCTAGTCACGAGTTAGGTTAAAGTCATTCTTTTGCACAATACATTATTACAAGTCAGTTAGCCAATCGCTCACTCACGATAATACATTACTCATCGGAAAAGCATGCATTAAATTAAGTTCCATCCGTCTGGACTACAGACTCTAGATCCCACTCATGCCAGATTTGTAAGCCGCCATTTTGCAGGAGTCACGTGACCTCTGTCTGATTGGAAGTTGCTGCCTCCTGTTGCCCACGAGGACGCCGCTTGAATCAAAAGTGTTCAGATGTTTGTGCCGAGGGGGTGGGGGGGGGGGGGGGGGTGATAATAAATATCAATATTTTCAACGGGAAATAGAACGAATGCCCTAAAGTTGCCCTTATGGACCAGGGCATTTAAGGAAGAACTCAAGCAGCAGACTCTCTATGATTATCAGCTGCAATCACTCCCCTCCGTTTATTACCCACATCTGAATATTGTGGGGTGTGCGAAACCCCACGACACCCACGGTGTCTGTGCCCTGGAAGAGAGGTCACTCACTTGAGTGGGTCGTATCCGCTGCTCCGGGTTGAGAAGCTGATTCTGATGGCAGAGAGGGCATGTGAAAGAGAAACGCGTGGATGAGATTACCAATGCAGTATTGTACGGTACCCTTCTGCATGCTGCAATTATACTGAGACAGGAAAAGGAGAACATGGATCAAGGGATATACAAGAGCTGACAGACATCATATTAACTCTTAAGAAAATTAAATGGGTTAGGACAGACAGACATACCTAACTCATTGCCTCTTACAAGCTTATCTTGAAAACGTTTAATTTCCAAAAAACAACAATAAATCTTTGGGATTATTGTGATCGAGATGGGTTGTGTGTAGCGTACCACCAACACAGCATGCGATATCTTACCAGGTGCGTTCGTAGAATGTGCTCCTGATGGCCAAGAGGGCATGTGAAAGATAAACGCATGCGCCAGTGATTACCGATGTCACACTGTACGGACAGTTTCTGCACTCTGTTAATTACACAAATAGATAGGAAAAGGAACTCATGTATCAAGGAACGTACCCAAGTTAGAGACATAATATCAACTGTTAAGAGAAGTAAATGGGTTTAGACACATCCCTGAAAAGAATGATAGGAGGTAGTCAAGACTAATGACAAATTGCCAGTCAAATGAGGGAACACTAAATGATTGTCAGCCAAAGGAGATTCGGCAATTAAATGGGCTCATGCGTAGGAGCTTCGTGAATTGTTACAGATGTAGGGGTGTTAGAGAGAGAGCCGTTATGCATGGCAGCTTATGGGAAACAAACACAGTGGGCGGGGCTACGTGAGTGCACGGGGGGGTGCTCTCAACGACGTCCACACCGGGCAGCCCGGGGACCCACCCCTCAGCGGGGGTTGAGTATAAAAAGGGGATGTGTCAGAGGGCTCGGGGAGAAATGTTAAGCTAACGAGAAGACTGAAGACATCTTAGCTAGAAGCCCTGGACTCCCCTAGTTCGACGTCCTTATCAGGGCCGAACAGGATCGAGCCAGCGGCGTGGTTCCGAGAGCCAGAGCCGGTGCTCTTGTCAGAGCAGGTCTGGGACTCCGGGTACCGGGCCCGACTTACCAGTGTCGGGCCAGATAGCCTCCCCTAGCCCGTTAGTGGAGGACTAAGAGGCAGGCTAGGGTAGCTAGCGTGTGTATTCCCAGCTAGCCGGGTGAGGGGGCCGATACCCCCTCGAGTGTTATATGCCCACTGTTGTGCTGTGAAATAAACCTGTGTGCCTCCAACTCCGGCGTCAAGAGTCGTCAACGGTATTACACATAGCAGGAAAGTGATCATGATTATTGGTTCTTTCGGTAAAGTCACGTAGAAGGGAAGTAATAAAATAATAAAAATAAAACATAATAAAATAATTCTCACGACGTTTCGGCTACAACGCAAGCAGCCGTCACCTGAAGACGGCTGCTTGCGTTGTAGCCGAAACGTCGTGAGAACAATTTTATTATGTTTTATTTTTATTATATTATTACTTCCCTTCTACGTGACTTTACCGAAAGAACCAAGAAGATGAATCCCTGCAGTCACGAAAGCTTTAAATCGAAATTTAAGTGATCATGACTTTAGGAGGAATTCATCCAGCAGTGGAGACATAATGGCTGATGGTTGTATTGTAATTCATGCGTGGCTGCCGGTGTGATTGATGTTTACATAGACACCAGGACATGTAACCCAAGAGCAGCAGACAATGCAGGATAGACTCTGTCCTCTCACCGTAGTATTCGCAGTTGGTGCCCGTCCAGTACGAGCGGCAGTAGCACCGGTAGTAGGGGTAGTAGGGCAGGTTTGCGCAGCTGCCACCGTTCTGACACGGGTGTGAGTAGCACGCCCCTGCAGAGAAACACAATCTCGTTGTTCATCTCGATGCCTTGTGCCCTTGTGCTCATATATGTTGTTGGAGGTAGGGCTGAACGATTTGGGGAAAATATCTAATTGCGATTTTTCTGCCCGATATTGCGATTTGATTTGCGATTAAATTTTTTAAAGTCAAGTTTCAGTTCAATATTCACTGCGTAATAGATTTAAAACAGGTGATGGAGCATTACCACCACATGATACCATCAAAATATGAACTGCTCTATATATTCTAATGCAAGGATGAGAACTTAAAATATATGAATTGCTTCCAATATGTATTTATTAAAACATTTTAATTGAAATGGAACAATCAAACATAGAACAATTGTTAAGTTAAATAAATAAAGTTATAGTAAAAAAAACAATTCCAATAATCGCTAAAAATCGCAGCCTTTGCGATTTCTTAATCGCATTGTTTCAAATAGCGATTTCGATTTGAAATCGATTAACCGTTCAGCTCTAGTTGGTGGTCCATGGGTCAATCGTGGGAATTCTAAATTCCATTATTGGGACGAATCTCTCCATAGGACAACACTTCCCACTGCTGTAGTTCCACAAGGTGGCACTCCTTTTTAAATCCTTTATATTAAGTTCACTTGCTTGCTTACTTGCGCGCTTACGACCGTGCAAATCTCTCGGTCGTTTTTTAACCCACTTCCCGTTATCCAATCGAGCTGACATTTTGCACACAGACTCGTTGTGCGTGACAATTTATTTTCGTGAAAATTATTTTCCAAAATTTTACACTTTTTAGGAAACAATAACTTATATTTAATTACCAATTGCTTAATGGTGGCAGGCAATCATCTGACCCATAGGTGGCAGCCATCTCAAGCCAGAGGACGAGAGGACTCTAGCCGCCACGCTTATAAAGGATTTATAGTGAAAAACTTTGTTTTTACGGGTTAATTTTTTGTAACCTGGATGGATGGCGAGAGAAGCCATTTCCCAACCGGAATTAAAACTCACAACCCACGGTTTATGGACCAGGCCCTCTGCCTGGCAGCAGAGCTTCACTGAACCTCGAGGTACGCTTCTGAAAACGATTCATGAGACTTGGTGAGGTACTCCTGGATAATTGACGTTGTTTTTAGCGTTAGATAAACATCCTAGAGTATGACCCATCGGGAAATGAGTGACATGATGCTGACAGCGAAAATTATTATTTTGTAAATGATGATATATCACCGAGCGCACCATCAAAGGGCATATTCTTGGAGCCACCCCTAGGTCAACTTAGCCTGAATGAGCACCTGGTGCACGTGATTACATCAGCAGCATGTCCCACAACCACCAACATAATTACACACTGATCGAGACCTATGTCTCTTGGGAGTCAATCCGATAGCACTCTGTGGATCTGTAACAGCATATCTTACAGTAATAGCCACTTGTGGGTCCTGTAAAAAAGACAGGGAAGACACATCATGCATAGGATCTGTAACACTTCCAACGTAGCATAATTACAATAAAACACATTCCAACTGATTATTAATCTACAACTCGCATCGTAACAACTGCCTGATTATTAATCTAGTATATAATTACAATACCCCCCCCCCCCCGCCTCAAATCGTTGCACCTGATGAGTTGATGAGTTAATGATGACGTCACCCTGCTGCTGCTCTATATAAGACCGAGGACAGAGCAGAGCCTCACCATTCTGGCGAATTGCCCGATGATGCTGGATGCAATTACCAGAGAAACGTCGTGCTACTCAAAAATTGTAAATGTTGTGGTTTCACGCTTCAACACACCGGTGGGCTAAAGCAGTGAACTATTTGTCTTTTGTCAACGTGACACTTTTTTTACTAATTGGCCGTGTCTGGTGGTGGAGGGTTACGACACATTTATAAATAACGTGATCTAAACACAAAAACGTTGATTATTTACACTTCCAAACAAGCATTTGTCCTCGTTTTCATTTAGTTGGTGATGGTAACGGCAGTGCCCGTCCCAGCTTCGTCGGAAGCAGCTTGTCCTAAGCCAGCAATGAGACAATGGTGATCGGATAGCGGCTCTGTAGGGGAAGGCGCTAGGTGTGTGACGTCATTTATGGACGGCCCCTTTATAGGTGCACTCCGGTTACTTCACAAGGCAAATAGGCCGGTGGGACTCGGGTAAAACACATTTACTGTGGACAGAAACGAACTGTTTATTTCGTTACTTTTTTAGCTTACGTCACAAGAAACAGGTTTAAACATCTTACCGGCATCGACGGTGGTCCCTGATGGATTGCACGCATGAAATAAAAACACACGCACATGCATACAACGTGTCAAAAATGTATACATCGCGTTATGGTGTCTTCCAGTCAATTCAATGTCAAAGTGCTTATACGACCGCCGAGAATAATTCATCTCCATGCTGCCCTGGAACTGGTGGTGGGATTTCAACATTCGCATGGCGACGTGCCACCATCAATTATGTAGGCACCCGTGAGACCAGCCGCACCGCCGGTACGGATTTCCAATATCTCGTGTTTTGCAATTTTACGATTGCCACCACCCACCGCTCCCCTCTCCCAATTCTGATCGATTGTTGTCCCTTTCAACGTTGCGGGGGGCGTTAGCGGCCTCTGTCGACTGCAGAGGGGGTCCGCGAGGTCTCTTTTCCGTGCAAAGTATACGAATCGAATAATAAGATCGGAGAGCGCGCACAAACGTGATCAAGGTGCACGTTTTGTTCGAGCTTAAGAGATGCATTGTACATTACACCACCAGTACGATCACAAATCGCGCCCTAATGATCATACTGTAAATCATATTTCGATTTAAAGCTTTCGTGACTGCAGGGATTCATCTTCTTGGTTCTTTCGGTAATAATTATTTTATTGTGTTTTATTTTTATTATTTTATTACTTCCCTTCTACGTGACTTTACCGAAAGAACCAAGAACCAAGAAGACTGTAAATCATTTCAGCTTGGAACGCGCCGCGTAGCATTTGCTTACTCTTGTCGAGAGCGAAGGACCCAAGAGGTGCGAGGAGGAACGACAGGCAAGGTGGAGAAGCAGCCTACGCGGTGAGCCAGCGCCAACAATTGCCAAAGCTCTGCGATCCTCTACATAATAAGGTGTTATCGACCAGAGCACCAGGAAGAAACCCACGCATGTGAGGGGGAAGCACTAAATCCCTTACGGACGAAACAGGTGGATTCCACACTTTAGCTTCTGGAAAGCCAGGGGGGAATGGCACCTCCGACACGCATGGAAAGGGAGTTTCACAACATTTATGCAGTAATCCACCAACCCTCCCCTCCACAGTGCTGGATTGTTACGGGCCACGGCATAGCCACCATCGCCCAGCTAATGAGCAAAGAGCCTTGATTGATCTCGGTTTACGATTAGCTTCACACTGACACGTGTAAACGCCTCTGAACAGCGTCGCGATGCGACCGCGAAGGTACAAAGTGAACACGTAACAAATTTACGCCTCTGGCGTAAAAAAAAAAAAATTACGTCAAGCTTTTCACGCGGTGATAGAAACTCCTTACCGTAGCTACTGGCATCTGCTCCGGGTGAGAGAATTGGGAAGAGGTTTGAAAAAAGACAGAAACACAAAACACGGGGATTACGATGGTAACGCACACAACGTGAAGCTCATTTCGAATGGAGTTTTTTTTGTAAGTCCGAACATTATTGCACACTCGTATAAGTCCAGTCCGTCACGAATTCACCGCGCTCATCACACACACAGTTGACTCTTTGGGATAAAATCACTGTTTTAAGTCAGTTGCAAAACCGTTCCACCCCCCCCCCCCTCCACCACCATCATTACTATCGTAGGCTGGGGTAAGATGCCTACGTGGGTTAAAATGCCATGTTTGTCTTGGTTCGTTAGAGCTGCAGACACCAGCAGCAGAGGGAGGGGGGGGGGGGTCCCCTAGAGGAGGGTGCCAATCTGCACCTCGACCTGATCGTGGCTGATGACGTTACTTCTGTCAGCACGAGGAGAAACGGCCATTTTCCCCACGTAACCCTCTGACTCCACCCGACCGTCGTGTTAGTATTCACATCAACACGTCCGTAAAGCACACCCCGCCCCACACGGAACAATAAAAAGTATACGAGACGAGCGTATTATTTATAATGACATACTCGTTGGTTCTTTCGGTAAAGTCACGTAGTTAGAAATAAAATAAAACACGCCGGATGACGACCGCTTGTGTTGCGATCGCTAACATCGTGATTTGTTTTATTTTATTTTATTTCTACCTACGTGACTTTACCGAAACAACCATTAGACTATGGATTCCTGCAGTCACGAAAGCTTCAAATCAAAGTTATAATGACCATGTGAGCAGATGACGGACGCGTCCTCTCCGTGGCTGCAGTCGTGGCTGTTCCAACCATTAAAGAGGCAGTGCGACAGATAGGACTCGGAGCCGCTGCAGTAAACATCGTCCATCAAGATGGGGCCGGAGCCCCTACCAAAGCGGGCCCCCTCCGGAGCTTCCACGGCATAACCGCAGCCCAGCTGGCGGCAAACCACGTTCCCGTCTGGAATACCCCAGTTGTCGTCGCACACCGTGCCCCACCGCTCGTTGTGGAGGATCTCCACTCGGCCAGAGCACGAGCCGCCCTGCACCAGTCTGACCGGTAAGCCTGGGGGGGGATGTCGTGGAGCGTGCGTCGAGAGACAAAGATGGTGGTGATGATGATTCGTCACGATCGAGATGGTTCGGTGATGGCGACGACGACGAAGGTGATGGTAGGAGTGCTGAAGCGGTCGGAGCAGGGGGTCAAGTCCGTGTTGGTGAGTGGTGAGTGTTGGTGAGGCCTTGTGGTGGTCGTGTTGGTGAGTGTGAGCCACTGTGGTGAGTGGTTGGTGGGCACTGCTGTTGGTCTACTATAGGGTCCACACAACCCAAACTATGGACGTATAGCAAACCATTGTAGTCTGCGCTCTTTCAACGGATGAGGAGGAAAAATAGCAAAACGACACGAACTCTCTCAAACGTCGTGACCACCAGCAGCAGCAGCAGACCTCAACATTGTCATCGAGCTCCTCAACATATTGCTGCCATCATTCGAAAGAATAACAATTGTTCAATTCGTTAGGAAGCTTTGAAAGTGATCACTGATTGAATGATTAAAAGCGGCCTCAGGGGCCATCCGTTCAGACTCCAAAGGTCTCGAACTGTTACAGCCTCACGTCGGTTCTCTGCTGTCGCCCCCTCGCCGTGGAACTCTCTATCCCTTTGCACATCCGCAACATCAAATGCACTCTGAAACATCTAAAGGCCTCTATCTGTTTGGGTCGGGGCTTTCGAGCAGCCCTGAGCTTGGTTCCGCGCCTCTGAGTTGTTGACTTGTCTGCAAAATCTGGCACATTATAAATAAGATTATCTTCTGCCGTTGCCATGGTTTGTGCAGTGGATGCAGTTAAGGGTTGTTGCCCCAGAAGCTTTGCAGAAGATCGAAGCCAGCAATAGTGCTGCTGCTTACTGATCTTCATGACAACGAGTCTACTTTTGTACGTAGCGTGTGTAGGTTTAAACCACTTGTTGACGTGAAATTGGCGATGAAAATGTTGCGTTATTAAGAACACGAATGGTACAAGTGTGTCTACGTTTTGCAAAATGGAAATGTGTCGAGGTTTTGCAAGAAGGAGAGTTACGTACCAGCATCATGAGTGACCTGTGGCGATTCTGTGCTCGCTGTAATACAAAAACAAAAACACGCAGACAGTGTAAAGCCGTGATCACACAAAAGCCCGGTTGCAGGAAACAGCGTAGAAGCTACAGTCGGAGCCGTAATTCTTAATCTTGCGTACAATTTTATTACAGCTCTAATATCGATTTCCCATCCACGGATCGCATCAGTAGCTAGTGATATCTGAACCCCGGTACTGAGAGCCCACACTTTTACCAAACCGCATTGACTCACGCGGGGAGGCTCTCATCATCCAGCAGTAGATAGAGAAAGTGTGTATAGTTTTGCAGCGTTCCCATCATGTGTTTGTTTGGTGCTAATGTAATGACGACTTGACACACTTCTCTTGAGATGGCACTTTATTGAAGACACGTTCACATGACATCAGGCGGAGATCCCACTGCAACAGCCCCGAGTCTCCCGCGCATCTCCCTTTAATACCAACACGAGGCCACGCTCGCTCTACCGGCAGACTCCACCATCCTCTTCCGTCACCTGACCACGCTCCCTTCTCGAACATTCCCGTAGCCACTAGTCCCTTCGCACTCACAACTGATACCCCTGTCATTACCTCCCGTGGCCACCAGTCCCTTCACACTCACAACTGACTCCCCTGTCATTACCTCCCGCGGCCACCAGTCCCTTCGCACTCACAACTGACTCTCCTGTCATTACCTCCCGCGGCCACCAGTCCTTTCGCACTCACAACTGACTCCCCTGTCATTACCTCCCGTGGCCACCAGTCCCTTCGCACTCACAGCTGACTCCCCTGTCATTACCTCCCGTGGCCACTAGTCCCATCGCACTCACAACTGACTCCCCTGTCATTACCTCCCGTGGCACCGGTCCCTTCACACTCACAACTGACTCCCCTGTCATTACATCCCGTGGCCACCAGTCTCTTCGCACTCACAACTAATACCTCTGTCATTACCTCCCGTGGCCACTAGTCCGTTCGCACTCACAACTAATACCCCTGTCATTACCTTCCGTGGCCACCAGTCCCCTCACACCACATGCAGGCTCTATTGTCATTACACTAACATAGGGACCGTCAATCCTTCTAAAATGTTAATATTTTTTTTCCCTTCTTCCCGCTCACCTGCACCCTATCATACCATCTCATTCCCTCCCTTCTCCCTCACTCTCCTGCCTCTTCTGCTCGCAAACCTCGAGGTGATCGTCAACTCCTCCCACTCCAACGACATCTCTGCCACTACCCGCACTTTCCGCTTTCACATAGTCAATATTCGCAAACTCTGTCCCCTCACCTCACCATCTGCCGCTAAACTCCTGCTTCACTCCCTTGCTTTCACTCAAGGCTTGACGATGACCGCTCTCTTCTTCTCTGCTTTCCTGCCCACGCGGTTACTCCTATATGGGACCTTTCTTGCCACTATCAAAATATAAACACATTCCTCCTGCGGAGGGAGCTGGTAGGACCGTTGGGTTGCTCGGTCAATGGCCAGGGTCAATGGCGGCGTGGTGTATTCCGCAAATATGGCCGACTGTGAGGGCGGTCACAAGCCGGCGTGAGTAGGTTAAACGTTGAGTTTTATAAGGGCACCACGGGGTGACCAGCCTCTCCTTACCCACCTCCACCCAGCCCTACCCTCCCCACCCAGCCCCTCCCCACCCAGCCCCTCCTCACCCTCCCCACCCAGCCCCTCCCTCTCTACCCAGCCCCTCCCTGCACGACGGACGGACGGACACAATAATCCCCTGTGGGCTGGTGTAACCTGGCGGTTCCTACCAGTACAATCGGGTTTACCCTTTCTGGCAATACAACTTGTGTTAAGATGTCAAACAGATTCTGTTTGGTGTTGTAACATCTAAACAGCCTGTTTCATTGCCAGAAAGGGTGAAACCTATTGGTATATTGTGGTTACCTCTCTCCAACAGACACAAAATGCCTCAGCCCAGATCATGTTTTAACATCCCCCACAATTGCCACACATCTGCTTTAGTTCCCCAACTCCACTGGCTCCCTCTCTACTTTCGATGTCCGTTTAACTTTCTCAGTCTCGTCTATATAACCCGCCCCCCGCTCCCCCACCATGGTCTTCTCGCTTCTCTCATCTCTTACTTTGTCCCATCCCATCCTCTACGCTCCCAATCTCTACTCCCTTGCCCTCTTGCGCCCAATCTCGCTCTCGTTCATTCTCCCTTCGTGTTCCCCCTCCACTGCAACAAAGTCCCACTGCAGCAGCACACAGCAGAGCAACCATCTTCACTAACCTGCTTCCCTTCCTGCCTTTAAACAAACTCCCATCTCTTCTCCCCTTAGCCCATCATGATCCTGTGACTCCCTTGCCCCGCCTCCTGGCTTCGACCAGGCCTACCACAACCCTATCACTACCCCTATCAATGCCCCAACCCCTATCAATACCCCTATCAATAATCCAGCCCCTATCAATACCCTAACCTCTATCACTACCCCTATCAATACCCCAACCCCTATCAATACCCCAACCCCTATCACTACCTCTATCACTACTCCAGCTCCTATCAATACCCCAACCCCTATCACTACTTCTATCAATAATCTAGCCCCTATCAATACCCCAACCCCTATCACTACCTCTATCACTACTCCAGCTCCTATCAATACCCCAACTCCTATCACTACCCCTATCACTACCCCAACCCCTATCACTACCCCTATCACTACCCCTATCACTACCCCAACCCCTATCCCTACCCCTATCACTACCCCAACCCCTATCACTACCCCAACCCCTATCCCTACCCCTATCACTACCCCAACCCCTATCACTACCCCAACCCCTATCCCTACCCCTATCACTACCCCAACCCCTATCACTACCCCTATCACTACCCCAACCCCTATCACTACCCCAACCCCTATCCCTACCCCTATCACTACCCCAACCCCTATCACTACCCCATCCCCTATCCCTACCCCTATCACTACCCCAACCCCTATCACTAACCCAACCACTATCACTACCCCAACCCCTATCACTACCCCTATCACTATCCCAACCCCTATCTTTACCCCTATCACTACCCCAACCCCTATCACTACCCCTATCACTACCCCAACCCCTATCACTACCCCTATCACTACCCCAACCCCTATCCCTACCCCTATCACTACCCCAACCCCTATCACTACCCCTATCACTACCCCAACCCCTATCACTACCCCTATCACTACCCCAACCCCTATCCCTACCCCTATCACTACCCCAACCCCTATCACTACCCCAACCCCTATCACTACCCCTATAACTACCCCAACCCCTATCACTACCCCTATCACTACCCCAACCCCTATCACTACCCCTATCACTACCCCAACCCCTATCCCTACCCCTATCACTACCCCAACCCCTATCACTACCCCAACCATTATCACTACCCCAACCCCTATCACTACCCCAACCCCTATCCCTACCCCTATAACTACCCCAACCCCTATCACTACCCCCATCACTACCCCAACCCCTATCACTACCCCTATCACTACCCCAACCCCTATCCCTACCTCTATAACTACCCCAACCCCTATCACTACCCCTATCACTACCTCAACCCCTATCACTACCCCTATCACTACCCCAACCCCTATCACTACCCCAACCCCTATCACTACCCCAACCCCTATCCCTACCCCTATCACTACCCCAACCCCTATCACTACCCCTATCACTACCCCAACCCCTATCACTACCCCTATCACTACCCCAACCCCTAACCCTACCCCTATCACTACCCCAACCCCTATCACTACCCCAACCATTATCACTACCCCAACCCCTATCACTACCCCAACCCCTATCACTACCCCAACCCCTATCACTACCCCTATCACTACCCCAACCCCTATCACTACCCCTATCACTACCCCAACCCCTATCACTACCCCAACCCCTATCACTACCCCAACCCCTATCCCTACCCCTATCACTACCCCAACCCCTATCACTACCCCTATCACTACCCCAACCTCTATCCTTACCCCTATCACTACCCCAACCCCTATCACTACCCCAACCATTATCACTACCCCAACCCCTATCACTACCCCAACCCCTATCACTACTCCTATCACTACCCCAACCCCTATCACTACCCCTATCACTACCCCAACCCCTATCACTACCCCTATAACTACCCCAACCCCTATCACTACCCCTATTACTACCCCAACCCCTATCCCTACCCCTATCACTACCCCAACCCCTATCACTACCCCAACCCCTATCACTACCCCTATAACTACCCCAACCCCTATCCCTACCCCTATAACTACCCCAACCCCTATCACTACCCCTATCACTACCCTAACCCCTATCACTACCCCTATCACTACCCCAACCCCTATCCCTACCTCTATAACTACCCCAACCCCTATCACTACCCCAACCCCTATCACTACCCCTATCACTACCCCAACCCCTATCACTACCCCAACCCCTATCACTACCCCAACCCCTATCACTACCCCTATCACTACCCCAACCCCTATCACTACCCCTATCACTACCCCAACCCCTATCACTACCCCTATCACTACCCCAACCCCTATCACTACCCCAACCCCTATCACTACCCCAACCCCTATCACTACCCCTATCACTACCCCAACCCCTATCACTACCCCAACCATTATCACTACCCCAACCCCTATCACTACCCCAACCCCTATCACTACTCCTATCACTACCCCAACCCCTATCACTACCCCTATCACTACCCCAACCCCTATCACTACCCCTATAACTACCCCAACCCCTATCACTACCCCTATCACTACCCCAACCCCTATCCCTACTTCTATCACTACCCCAACCCCTATCACTACCCCTATAACTACCCCAACCCTTATCCCTACCCCTATAACTACCCCAACCCCTATCACTACCCCTATCACTACCCCAACCCCTATCACTACCCCTATCACTACCCCAACCCCTATCCCTACCTCTATAACTACCCCAACCCCTATCACTACCCCAACCCCTATCACTACCCCTATCACTACCCCAACCCCTATCACTACCCCAACCCCTATCACTACCCCAACCCCTATCCCTACCCCTATCACTACCCCAACCCCTATCACTACCCCTATCACTACCCCAACCCCTATCACTACCCCTATCACTACCCCAACCCCTATCCCTACCCCTATCACCAGAGGTGTGGACTCGAGTCATGTGACTTGGACTCGAGTCAGACTCGAGTCATGAATTTGATGACTTCAGACTCGACTTGGACTTGCATAACAATGACTTTGTCCCACCTCTGAGGTGTGGACTCGAGTCATGTGACTTGGACTCGAGTCAGACTCGAGTCATGAATTTGATGACTTCAGACTCGACTTGGACTTGCATAACAATGACATTGTCCCACCTCTGCCTATCACTACCCCAACCCCTATCATCACTACCCCAACCCCTATCACTACCCCAACCCCTATCACTACCCCTATCACTACCCCAACCCCTATCACTACCCCTATCACTACCCCAACCCCTATCACTACCCCTATCACTACCCCAACCCCTATCCCTACCCCTATCACTACCCCAACCCCTATCACTACCCCAACCATTATCACTACCCCAACCCCTATCCCTACCCCAACCCCTATCACTACCCCAACCCCTATCCCAACCCCTATCACTACCCCAACCCCTATCACTACCCCTATCACTACCCCAACCCCTATCACTACCCCTATCACTACCCCAACCCCTATCCCTACCCCTATCACTACCCCAACCCCTATCCCTACCTCTATAACTACCCCAACCCCTATCACTACCCCAACCCCTATCACTACCCCAACCCCTATCCCTACCCCTATCTCTACCCCAACCCCTATCACTACCCCAACCCCTACCCCTATCACTACCCCAACCCCTATCACTACCCTTATCACTACCCCAACCCCTATCACTACCCCAACCCCTATCCCTACCCCTATCACTACCCCAACCCCTATCACTACCCCTATCACTACCCCAACCCCTATCCCTACCCCTATCACTACCCCAACCCCTATTACTACCCCTATCACTACCCCAACCCCTATTCCCTACCCCTATCACTACCCCAACCCCTATCACTACCCCTATCACTACCCCAACCCCTATCCCTACCCCTATCACTACCCCAACCCCTATCACTACCCCTATCACTACCCCAACCCCTATCACTACCCCAACCCCTATCCCTACCCCTATCACTACCCCTATCCCTACCCCTATCACTACCCCAACCCCTATCCCTACCCCTATCACTACCCCAACCCCTATCACTACCCCTATCACTACCCCAACCCCTATCACTACCCCTATCACTACCTCTATCATTGCCCCTATCACTACCCCTATCACTACCCCCATCACTACCCCAACCCCTATCACTACCCCTATCACTACCCCTACCCCTATCACTACCCCTATCACTACCCCAACCCCTATCACTACCCCTATCACTATCCCTACCCCTATCACTACCCCTACCCCTATCACTACCCCAAACCCTATCACTACCCCTATCACTACACCAACCCCTATCACTACCCCTATCACTACCCCAACCCCTATCCCTACCCCTATCACTACCCCAACCCCTATCACTACCCCTATCACTACCCCAACCCCTATCACTACCCCTATCACTATCCCTACCCCTATCACTACCCCAACCCCTATCACTACCCCTATCACTACCCCAACCCCTATCCCTATCACTACCCCAACCCCTATCCCTACCTCTATAACTACCCCAACCCCTATCACTACCCCAACCCCTATCACTACCCCTATCACTACCCCAACCCCTATCACTACCCCAACCCCTATCACTACCCCTATCACTACCCCAACCCCTATCCCTACCCCTATCACTACCCCAACCCCTATCCCTACCCCTATCAATACTCCCAGTTGGGCCACTGGTGACGTCACACGACGTGGTTGCCCTCCTTTAGCGGCCTCGAGAAAGACGACGATTGGCTTTCTCGTCGCCACCATTCGACGTGCAAAGTCAACGACAACGCCGACCTCGTGTTGTGCAAAATGATGGCGCGTGCGAACGACGTCATAATGCCACCGTCTGTGAATCAAGGGGCTGAACGGTGGCGCGGTGGTTAGGAAGCCACTGGAGCATTGCGTTTGTGAAATGTAAATTGAAACTGTGCTATGAGTGCTACGTACGGTGCGAAAGAAGTTCAACACACATCAATTGCGCTATGAGCCCTGGACACCTGAGCTCGACTGCCCCCGACCAAGGCGACGTGATAGATGTTTGAACCGGTCTTCCTCCTCCACCCTCTTCACCATCTCTAAATGACGAGCGTGGTGAAGTATGGTCAAACAACCCTGATGACCGACAGGGCCCGAGAAGGCCTTCATCCAGCAGTTAATTGATAAAGGGGTGTTTACTTTGATAAATAATCGCATTAATTAATTGTGGTTTTGTTGTCCTCTTGAGCATATGCGTTCAAATGTCTTACCTGGGGCAGTGGATCCTTGTGCTGCTGGTGTCCATGATGACACTTGAAAGAGATAAACACATACACGCCGTGATCAGTGGTGTCTGCAGAATCATATTATTATTATTGTAGGTAATAAAACATATGAGTTAACATCAATCCTGCCCATGACCAAATCACTCGGAATGTACCCGATTTCTGCGAGATTTATGACCGGTACAGATATCATTTAACCACGGCCCGGTATTGAACTGAGCTCGCCACGTACAACCATGAACACTTTCAGCGCTAGAGGCGATTCAGATTTAAGATCGAGGTACCCGTTGCGTGAGCGTGTGGACACGTCCATTGCAGCGTAGAGTTGAGTTGATTTGTATGGAATGGTGAATTGGTAAGCGCGGAAACGATTGGGTCGTGATGGCAAATCGCGAGGACTGCAGTTTGGGAAACTCTGCAAGTTCAACAAAAGTAGAATATCGTTGGCCTGTGGCCGCCTTAATCGAGCTCCTGTTGATACCACTGACTCTGTAGTAGATACTACTGACTCTATAGTAGATACCACTGACTCTATAGTAGATACTACTGACTCTATAGGATATACTACTGGCTCTATAGTAGATACTACTGACTCTATAGTGGATACTACTGACTCTATAGTAGATACTACTGACTCTAAAGTAGATACTACTGACTCTATAGTAGATACTACTGACTCTATAGTGGATACTACTGACTCTATAGTAGATAGTACTGACTCTATAGTGGATACTACTGACTCTATAGGAGATACCACTGACTCTATAGTAGATACTACTGACTCTATAGTAGATACTACTGACTCTATAGTAGATACTACTGACTCTATAGTAGATACTATTGACTCTGTAGTGGATACTACTGACTCTGTAGTAGATACTACTGACTCTATAGTAGATACTACTGACTCTATAGTAGATACTACTGACTCCGTAGTAGATACTACTGACTCCATAGTAGATACTACTGACTCTGTAGTAGATACTACTGACTCTATAGTGGATACTACTGACTCTATAGGAGATACCACTGACTCTATAGTAGATACTACTGACTCTATAGTAGATACTACTGACTCTATAGTAGATACTACTGACTCTATAGTAGATACTATTGACTCTGTAGTAGATACTACTGACTCTGTAGTAGATACTACTGACTCTATAGTAGATACTACTGACTCTGTAGTAGATACTACTGACTCTATAGTAGATACTACTGACCATATAGTATATACTATTGACTCTATAGTAGATACCATTGACTATGTAGTAGATACTACTGACTCTATAGTGGATACTACTGACTCTATAGGAGATACTACTGACCATATAGTAGGTACTACTGACCATATAGTAGATACTACTGACTCTATAGTAGATACTACTGACTATAGTAGATACTACTTACTCTATTGTATATATGGCGTGTAGGCATATATGCCTACAGAATAAATTAAAGCATTTTCGAGGGGGGAGGGTGGAGTGACATTTTTTGCGTGCTGGTCAACAATTTTTGGAACCCTGTTGGATCAACCTTTTACCTCCACATCTGCAGGGCGGGGCTCCACTTTCTAGAACTTTCTTTTTCAATTCGCGCCTTCTGAAAGGCTCTCTTATAATTTTAGATTTGATACAGTCAATTTGGCTGTGACGGTCCCACCTGAGGACGGAGACTTGTGTTGCCTCCGAAACGTCGTGATTTAATTGAGTTATTTTCACTTATTTTTTTTACCAACGTGACTTTACCGAAAAAACCTAAGCGTATGAATCTCGTATAATTGATTTGACGGTCAGACGGAGCACCGGGCTTTAACAGTAGATGTATGTTCGGCGTACGAATACCTCCGATTAGCACCCCAGCACCTCCGATTAGCACGGTCGTGTGCATGTTGCACATCTTTCGCACCGTATGTAGCCAACCGTGCTAATCGGGTGGCTACGTTGCGAAAGAAGTTCAACATACGTCCCGATGTACACACTCTAACCAATCACTCAGTTCGCCCAACACGAAACACAACAGCAGCATTGCATGCGGCGCGGTTTGGTGTGACACGGTGTCGCAAGGCCTTCATCTAGCAGTAGATTGACAGGGAGCCTCTCCATGGAGCAGTGCCGATTCGAGACGAAGAATTGAAATTCTCCAACCTCTTGACCTGCAGCGTGAAAGAGTAGGCCAAATGCCATCTCCTCCAATGTAGGGCCCATCTGCCAGCAGTGTCGTCAGTGAGCAATTGCAAGGCTGCGCCTTTAACCCTTCGTCGTTATCTCACTCCGTGATGCCACGGCCCTGGCGCTTTACTGCTATGCTCCCTGGTGCCAAGGGTCTCCAGAGGGCCCTCTCCCAACCAGAAGTGACTTTAATCTACAACTCTTTTAGCCAAAGTTCAAATGAAACGTGTCGGAAACACACACGCTTCAATAATCATCAATGTGGTCCATCAGCCATCAGAATGGGAGACGGGCACAGCGGCGTTTCACCTGAATTAGGATTCATCAGCAGAGCATGCATATGTCGACTTAAAGTGGCAGGGCTTGCTGACTGTTAAAGCCGCGCTTTTGTTTAACGCAACAAAAACGAACACCCCTCCCCTCCCTCCCTCCGCATATTTAGACGCAATTTTCGCTCTGAAAATCGTTACACGGAACTACGCTCTATACAAATCGGCACACGAATCACGTCTTCAAATCACTCGGGTTGCTTGGCAAGCAGAGACGCGCACACACACACACGTGCACGCGCACGCACGCAATCTCTCATTGGTGTTACCTGTCGTTACGGCACGTGACACCAGCATGCAGGTGAGTAGCAGGCGACCAGCGTGGGACGTGGCAGCCATCGTCGTCATCATCATCACCAGCGATGTTCGTAGCGTCTGTTGTATCAAACAATGCTGTTGTTGAAGCCTTGGGTTGAAGCAGTCAGTCGCTCAACCTGCCCCACCTCGACGCGAGCGTGCCCTTTTTATAGGTGTGCTGGAGCCCGTTGCATCCCTAATCGCGTAGGCGTCTCAATTATAATAAATATTTAAGTGGAGCCAAAGTTTGCTCTTCAAGGTGTGTGTGTGTGCGTGCGGCCGTTGCGTGGTGCTGGCTGACTTCACGAATCGTTTATTAACCCATTTGATTGCGAGTGCTGTAGGTCGTTGCGATGTAATAATGTCTACATGCAAGTATTATATACATATAGACATATACACGAACACGCGTGAGAAAAAAAACTCCTATATAAAGGTAAATATTCCCCATACAGCCTTAACAACCTCGAATGTAATGCCATATTTTCAACTACATTTTCCGATTTTGTTGTTGTTACATTTTTTTATTCCACTTATAACTTATATAGATTAATGTAGCGCCTTGGTACGAGACGCTTTACAATAATTACAAATTTCGATTTAAAGCTTTCGTGACTGCAGGGATTCATCTTCTTGGTTCTTTCGGTAAAGTCACGTAGAATGGAAATAATAAAATTATAAAAATGAAACGTCGTGAGAATTATTTTATTATGTTTTATTTTTATTATTTTTAATATTTCCATTCTACGTGACTTTACCGAAAGAACCAAGAAGAATAATTACAAAGTTGTACACTAGATGATAGTGGTACAATGAAGAGGGGGGGTTATTAAACGTGGTGGTGTTGCTATGATGACAGGACCGGTGGGCTCAGAAGGGGTTTGGGTGGTGTGGCCATGTTTGTTTGCTGTAGTACGGAGTTAGAATGATGGCTTTAATATAAGTTGTCTTGCGGTTGTTATTGTTGTTATTGTTTGACTTGCATCCCACTGGGATTTTTGCACAGCGTTGGTGTGCGGTGGTTTTTTTTTCTGGAAGACTTTGCAGTTTTTTCCTGGATTTTTCTGTTTGCGCATAGTCACATAGTCACTTTAAGATGTTTTCTTGTTCATGTTTTTTGTTTGTTTCGGTTGCACCCGATTCAAGAGCCGAATGGCTCACAGGGCTACACCAAATAAATTAAACTGAAACTGAGTAGGGGTCGTGGCAGGAATTGTGGTAGGGCTCTGGTAGTAGCTGGGATGCCGGAGCAGGGAGTAGCAGTAGCAGGATCGGCTCGGGGAGAAGAGATGGCTTTGAAACAGGGATGGGGAACCTTTTTGTCTGCAAAGGCCCATTTGGATATGTATAACATCATTCGCAGGTCATACAAATTATCAACTTAAAAATTAGCCCGTTATATTTGGTCAAACATTTAATTAACTCGCCCCTAATGTGATGGCTGGAACCGCTTCTCTTTGGCGAGGCGTGTGATGTTAGCTGGTATTGATGATGTTGCTGCTACTCGCAACTGCTTTTCCAGGTTTGTTCCGAGATTTATTGAATTTCGAGTCACGCCTGCGGTTGCCTTGGCAGGGCCAGGACCAAACGATTTCGCGGGCCTCGTACGGCCCGCGGGCCGGACATTCTCTACCCCTGCTTTAAAGGAACCACCTGGTTCCACCAGCCCACAGGGGATTATTGTGTCCGTCCGTCCGTCGTGAAGGGAGGGGCTGGGTGGGGAGGGAGGGGCTGGGTGGGGAGGGTGGGGAAGGGCTGGGTGGGGAGGGCGGGGCTGGGTGGGGAGGGGAGGGTAGGGAGGGGCTGGGTGGGGAGGGTGGGGAGGGGCTAGGTGAGGAGGGTGGGGCTGGGTGGGGTGGGGCTGGGTGGGGAGGGGCTGGTCACCCCGTGGTGCCCTTATAAAACTCAACGTTTAACCTACTCACGCCGGCTTGTGCCCGCCCTCACAGTCGGCCATATTTGCGGAATACACCACGCCACCGTTGACCCTGGCCATTGACCGAGCAACCCAACGTTCCTACCAGCTCCCTCCGCAGGAATGTGTTTATTTTACGTGCAATGGGAGTTGGTTCCAGTGGAGGGGAGCAAAAAGGGAGAGTGAACAAAAGCGAGACTGGGCACAGGACGAGGGAGACACCGACAGTAGAGATTGGGAGCAGAGAGAACGGGATGGGACATATCTATGAGAGAAGCAAGCGATGGTGAGGATGTTATTCTTAAGTTGTTTCAATATTCATATTGGTTCTCCAAAAGCTGTTCCTCTGCGAATGAATGTTTACCCCCTTCTGGATTGTGTTGGTCTCTCCCAACGTGTAAACGTTCCCACTCACAATCTCGGTCAAACCCTTGCTCCAGTTATTATGTCTGGCTTGCCCATATCACATTTAAATCTGTGCAATGTTTCTGTATCTGACCATGTCGCAATTTTTGTTACTTTTTTCCCACTTTCCTTAACCAGAATGAACGTTATGTCAACTATAGAAAGTCTTTAAATACAACTCAGTTTTCCGAGTCAATTTCGTCATCCTTACCCTCAAACCTTTTTTTTCTCTTTGGAGGACAAGGTTCTTTATACTTCAACACTTTCCAATACTTTTGACTTTCGAGTGCCACCTAAAGAATGTCGTGTCTCCTCCAATCGCCTATCTCATTGGTATACTGATCATCTGCGCTCCTTAGCAATATCTGGGAGAAAGCATGAACGGAGATGGAGGGACACAGGTCTGGAGATTATTTTTCAGATCTGGAAGCAACATCAGTGTGTGTGTGTGTGTGTATAGGGACGTAAGCAGTGGCGGCTCCTGCAAAATCTCTCAGGGGAGGCAAATGTCTGGATGATTGATAAGGATAAGGTCCACCCATGCAATGGATAAATTAACAGCTTAAGCATGTACAGGCAACTTCACTTCTTTAATATTAATGAAAAATAAAGTGACTCTTACACTACATCTTGTTTGTTTCTATACTCACTATTATTACAATCCACTCAGTTTCTTTTATTAAAGATTCCACTAGGTGGCGACAAATACAATTGTTGACTGAAACGTGCTTACGTATGATGACGTAAGCACGTTAGTGCGAGCCCTCCCGGAAGCCATAGAGAATGCATTGCAGCGCCCGCCGTTCGAAAAAAACATCTTTCAATGTAAGTCTATGGGATCACTCTGGGCGATTCTCAGCCAGAGTGAAATCGCCCAAAAAGAGGCGGTACTCCACAGAACGTGACATGACGCTGATTGGACTATATCCAGAGGCACAGTAACGGCTAGTGTAACTCTGTGGTTGAATGACATTGGTGGTGTGTCGCCCAATCGCCCTAATGAAGAAACTGCCCCTGGACGTAAGAATAGGTTTTACCCGTTCTGGCAATAAAGCAGTTGTGTTAGGATGTTAAAACACTAAACTGAAACCTTTTGCAACGAATCATGTCTGCATTAACCACATATGCTCGTGGTGAACATGCAAAAAACATGCTCCACCACCCGACACGGCCAAATAATAAAAAATGTGTCACGTTTACAAACACGCAAACAGTTCACTACTTTCTCCCACCGGTGTGTTGAAGAGTGAATCAACAACATTTTTACAATTTTGAGTACGACGTTTCGCTGGTAAACACATTCCTGCGGAGGGAGCTGGTAGGAACGTTGGGTTGCTCGGTCAATGGCCAGGGTCAACGGCGGCGTGGTGTATTCCGCAAATATTGCCGACTGTGAGGGCTGGGCACAAGCCGGCGTGAGTAAGTTAAACGTTGAGTTTTATAAGGGCACCACGGGGTGACCAGCCCTCCCCACCCAGCATAACCCTACCCAGCCCCACCCCTCCCACCCCCCACCCAGCCCCACCCTCCCCACCCAGCCCCTCCCCACCCTCCCTTCCCCACCCAGCCCCTCCCCACCCAGCCCTTCCCCACCCTCCCCTCTCCACCCAGCCCCTCCCACCCAGCCCCTCCCCACCCAGCCCCACCCCTCCCATCTTTGGATGCACAACGGACGGATGGACGGATACAATAATCCCATGTGGGCTGGTGTAACCAGGAGGTTCCTGCCAGTATTACATCCAGCATCATCGGGCAATTTGCCAGAATGGTGAAGCCATCCACTTGCTCCCGGTCTTAAATCAAGCAGCAGCAGCAGGGTGACGTCATCATTTAACCCAATCTGGTGCAGTGATTTGAGGCGGAGAGGGGCAGGTTATTGTAATTATATACTAGATTGGTAATCATTCAATTGTTATTAATTAGTATTTGTTTCCCCTATAAAGAACTGTAATTGTAATATATATATAATTTAATAATACAGAATGTAAGTTGTTTGTGCCATTTCATTCTGGCTTTAGAGCAATGCATCGTACGGAGAACAGCACTTGGTTAAGGTTGTAAGTCATGTATCCATGTATTCTTTGGTTCTTTCGGTTAAGTCACGTACTAAAGATAAAATAATAAATTAAATAATAGCATATTACGACGTTTCGATTGCAACACAAGCAATCATCATCAGGCATAAAAGAAATAGCAACAAAAATCTAACTAGAAAACTATAGACAGACATACAAGCAGACAGACATCACAAGGACACACAGAGAGAGGACACATATCGGCACAAAGAGAGAGGTCGTTTCTGTGACGGGGCCTTAAATATAGACAGGGGGGGCGGGAGGAGACAGAGAAAAAATTAGCATATCAATGAGTGGACGGCAACGTGATGCTGCTGCAAGTAAGATGACGACGCGGCACGGCACGCAAGCTTGAAAATCATCCATGATTGCCGATTTTTGGTGCACTACCCATCATGATTCTTCTGGATCTTAGTGCTACTTTTGATTCCGTTGATGGTTGTATTTTGCTAAATCGTCGAGACTCATGTAGGCCTCGCAGCCACTGCTCTCTGTTGGCTAATGGCATTCTTGTCCAACAAGGAGGGATGAGGGGATCACACTCCACACGACAGATGTCGTGTCCTCATGGGGTCCTGAGGGCTCATTTATAGGACGTCTTGTTCACAGCCTATATAACTACGACTGCTCGATATTCTTGTTTTTCTCGGTAAAGTCACGTAGAAGGGAAACGTCGTGAGAATTGTATTGTTTTATATTTTTATTTTTTATTGTTTTCCTCCTACGTGACTTTACCGAAAAAAAACAAGAATATGAATCCCTGC